GGCTAAACCAGGGCTAAACCAGGTCAAACCAAGTCAAAATCAAGATTCATCATCACCACGGAGATGAGACCATGAGAAGTTGAAAGAATAACTCAAAGTACCTACAATGGAGACTCAAACCACTTGTAATGATGTTGGTAGAGCTCAAACCAACAAAGCAAATGAGAAACTGTCCAGGAGGGTGCAGGAGCTGGATCTCCTGAAGATTCATCGTGAACGTGAAAGAGCACAGCGATCCAACCGCCCAAAAGGAGCATCCGTTGTGGAGCAGCAGTGGAGCATCAACAGCGCTAAAGCACCTCCAAACATTACCCTTTACATGCATTAATAAAAATAATTACTAAAAATATTTTAAAAGTGTGCTTTGGCTGTTTTATTGTTTTTTTTCCACATTGTTTAATTCATATGCCAGTCATATAGCATACTGCAGTAGCTTGTTTTTTACGCAGAAATGGGTAAAGTGAATGTACAAAAAATAATATAATACAGACAACATGACAGAAACAATCATTGTATGTGTACCTCTGCTTGTTTAATGCTACCTGCCATTCAACTAATACTTCTTATACTGTTCCTTACCTAATAAAAGCAACAATTTCAGAGTAACACGCTTGGAAAAATGTCAAATAGCTCAGTAGGAGTTTGTGTTGACAGAAATGTTGCCTATTTGACTCGTAACTTGATTCTTATTCATAATCTTGTCATTTTTTGGACTAGAAATAATCTCAAATTTTGAACACACCTTACGGAGTTTTTCAAAAAACAAAACCAACAAATCATACCCACATACAATCACAACATCTTGTGTGTATTTTTTGTTGAGATTATCATAATCTGATTTGATTGGAAAATTACACTACTGTATCATGGCCAGACTTGAATGAACAATGCTACCACAGTGTGTTCAGTGTTCACATCTCCGCTGGGTCCTGTATCGGTAAATAAACTTCTCTTTACAACTCTCTGGCTACTTCAATATTTCTCACACCGCTTTAGCCCTCTTTGAACTCTGAAATCCAATCCCGCTTTCCTCCATAAATAGCAGTGAAGCTTTCTGTCTGTTTTGTGCTGAGCTAAGCAGACAGCCTCTCCTCCTCCTCTTCCTCCCCCTCCTCTTCCTCCAGACATCCACAGGGGAGGAAGTCATCAGCGCTCACGCAGAGACACATCCACAGCGTCTAGCTAGCACACAAAACCCTCTCATTCATAACAGGCGTCTCTCCGGGGAGGCGGTTTAGAGTAACAGATAGCTATTTATTACAGAAAGAGTTGGAGCTTTTGGGGGATTTGCGCTCGTGTGCCTAACTGTCTGGATTTGCGCCTGGCAGAGTGATTACATTACCTGCCCTCACAGCTGCTCCTCTCTGGTGCGCGAGCTTTGTCCGGAGTAAAATAGAGGGGTACTCATGGTTATAGGCGGTGATGATGGGACAGAAATAGCTTTTGGATGACAAGCGGGGAAGTGGTGAGTGGAGATAGCGAGTGGATTGCCATGACGATGGAAAAAATGGCACACCTCTGTAATTTTTTGGGATACAGCAGTGAGATCAGAGTTACTCAATCATTCAAGTTTGAATCAGAGACAACTCAAAAGCGAGGCGATTTCTTACACATGTCGTCATCACCTGCCAGTCACAGCGTTCCAAATACATTTCCCTCTCATACAGTCACCTACACTGATAAATGGGCATTTAAAGCGCTTTACGTCAAGGATTAAGTGTGGGTTAAGTGTGGACTCAACCGCTGTACCACTGATGTTTATGTCAAGAGCAAGATTCAAACCGCCAACGTTTGGATCAGTGGACAAACACGCTACCAACTGAGCTATGGTTGCTCCACATTTTTGCTGTTTATTTTACCTTTATTTACCTTTATCTCACTTAACTGTCTTCAGAGAGATAAGCAGGTGACAGACAGTCCAACAGAAAAGATGGCACCAATAATAAAAGTCTTCAGTACAAATTAAATGCTTACTGAGATGGCAAACACGACAACTATGACTGCTAAACATATAGTACGTAGGTCTTTAATCTATGTTAGTGTGACGTTCTCATGTCAGCAAAGCGTTGATTCAACCTATTAAGAAGCAGCCCTCAAAAGGCAAACACCTTATATTAGCTGTGACGCTGGTGAACTTCAGTCTATTTACCACCCATCCCCTCTCTCTTTCTCTCTCTCCCTCTCTCTCTATGTCATCAGTGAAAACCAGCTCATAATGGAGTAGTGACAAGTGCAAGCCAATGCAAATGAATGCGCCGCAGCGGGGTGAAGACTTAATAGGAGCTTATGATTGACCCACATTTAACGCAAAGTCTCGTGGGTAAATAAAAAAAAAAATGTATCAAAGTGGCAGTGCTGTTCAGTTTTTTTTTTTTGTACACTGACAGCCACCATTCAAATCCCCTTTCCCAATCACACAGTTACCATGGCAACCCCAGGCACTCGTTTTGAAAATTCCCAAATGAAGTGTCGGGATGTGTGCAAATTCCAGCGGGGGGGCACTGCGCTTCTCCAAAAACAAAAGACAGCAGAGCATGTCAATTTGTTTAAGCGCAGTGCCTTAAAAATGTGAACAGATTTAAGAAATATAGCAGTTTTAAACATCTCCTAAGAACATAGGCCTACTTACATTGTGTTACTATGCAAGACACTTTGCCTACATTGTCTACAAGTAAAAGCAATAGTGGATGTGTTAAAAAGAAAGAAACTCTATATTAATACTTTGCAGCCAATGTCATCAACATCCCCTGGGAGTGTGATGCTAACTAGAAGCTCTACTCTGTTTGAGGCTGTTAGATTGTGTTAAAAAAAAAGCTCAGATTAAAATGTGGAATGGAACTACATCAGGTGAGATGATTTATGTGCTTAAACAAGTCTGTCACAGATAATATTACAGTCACAAGTAGGGGTGTGCAACCGTTTAATTTGATGATACGGTATCGATGTCATGCATGTATTGACACATCATCAAGAAGATTTTTTTGATATATTTTACTAAATTATTTTATGAAAGAGCTACAGTTGTGTTGCTTGTTTGGAGAAAGTTCACTTGACATTTTCACTGTTAAATGTAAAATGGGTGTTTTTCATATTCACTTAGTGGTTTAATAATGACTTTTAGTATCAGAGCCATGATTTAGCCTTTGTTTTCTACTGAAACATATCGAATCATTTTGAAATATATTGTATCAAATTGTATTGAATCAAAAGTGCATTGAATCGGAAACCGTATTGTATCGTGGAACTTCTTAATGATACCTAGTCACAAGTGAGCTAACATTACCCCCAAACAATTTCAGTTAGTCACTCTCACCTTTATTTGAAAATCAAAATCCCTAAACTGGACCATGAATGCAAATGTCACACAAATGTGTCCTGAAAATGTGCTATTTAAATCCATTTTGTATTTATTTTTGAGTTATCAGATCTTACAACGGTTTTGCCAGACTTCTGAACAGTTCAGCATAGAGATACATGTAGAAACTCCCGCTCTGCATAGTATAAATAGGCCAATAATAATTTCTGTAATATCACCAATAAACTGATTTGCAAAAGATCATTTGGTAATTTCCTGAATTTAAGTTCCTATACCCCATTTTGAACCATGAGCAAAGATGTCCACCCAGTTAGTCTCTTCTCTTGCTCTGATGTTGAACCATGACAGAAAAACAACAGTTTGGGATAGTCAGCTGTTTCTTCATGGTTCTCTGCTTGGATTTCATTACATCTGGATTTTAATCTATGCTTTGCAGTTGGCATCCTTATTCTCATTCAACAAAATGCTTATAAAATGCATTGGCAATTTTATTCGGGCTCATATTTCCCCCCTAAAAAACTGCTTTTACAATATAGCTACTGCACGGAGTAAGGGCATTTTCCTGAACTGTAGGCGCAATAAAAGTCGGGCTCTTTGATTGCAGATGTCTTCCTGGACTCTGACTGAGCAGCTGAGTTTGTCTTATGCCGCACAGACTTCAAGCGGTTGTGAGGAGGATGAGGGCATTTATTGGGTGACATGTAAAAGAGACCCACTCTGTCCTCATGCTGTGGGGGGAGATCTGCAACCCTCGGAGTCCCCTGTGGGCAAACATGCAACGGCTGTGGAGAGGGGGCATCTGTCTAAGGCTAGTGAGAGCTGTTGTGCTGGATAATATATGTGTCAAAATATGGTAAAAAATTCAGATTCAAAGCACTGAAGTTATTATTATATAGTACTGTCATTTCTGATGAATAAATAAGAGCACATTTAGATTTAGACTTTGTTTGGTCAGTGTATTCAGCTCAAACAGAGATACTGTAGTATAGTTCAGTTTTACAGTATGAATTAAAAATATAAAGAATCTTTAAAGGTGCACTATGTAACTTTACTGCTGGAGTGTAAGCCACGTGCTTGTCTCTGTGAGGATGTTAATGCTTTGCCTTTGTACAGTATAGCATTACATTTATCTATGTGTTTTTTTAATTATAGATGTTTATTTACTCTACAAATACCTTAAAAACATGCATTCTTATTGTGCGTTTACCTTGTTTCCATGGAGACAGACAAGCAGATAGCAGACCCTCTACCAAAAGTGTTACATAGTGCACCTTAAACTATAATTTGGTTACTTTACTGACAATCTATGACTCAAATCTGTAATCTTGACAAATGATGTTCTTGACATTGGTCCAGATGATAAAGAAAACTATTGGAATTTCCTTTTCTCCCCTCCCTTCTTTTTCATATTCAAACAAACCAATGCTAGCTATCACTTTCGGAATCATTAAACAAGTAAGGCACTCCTTTTTATTTGTTCATATTGTATACCTTCATAAGTGCATATATTGATACTTCTAGTAGTCACAGCTAAACACTCAAATGCACTATTGTTTTTGATACAACACCACTTCCTCATCCCACATATTACACAATCATTTTATCTCACTTTGCTTTTTAAAACTCAGCCCACTTCGTCCTCTCCTCCCACTGCTTTACCTTTGTGCAGGCGTGCATTACTCACCAGGCTGTGTCCAGAAGGCGGCCCGGCAAATGGCTCCTGTTAACTCCTCTGCTCTGTGCAAAACAAACAGAAGGTCAGTCCTCTCCAAGCTTTTATCCCCCACACTGAACAGGGAATGAATTCACCTGTCACAGTTAGGCTGCGTTATGGTGCTGTCTTCTTATTGTGCCTCATGTTGGAAGTGGTTTAAAGTCAGACAGATTAGAAGTAAAAGTTTCAATTAACAGAAAATGTTTTTGTGTGCTTTTGGGTCTTTGTTGCCCAGTGATGACCCAAACCATCAAGGAGGGCCTCATCACTTCATTGCCTCTCACTGTGTTTGTATTATCAGCATCAAGTACAAACTCCAGGCAACAAAAAACACTGTAGGAGAAGATTAGAACACCAGTACTGGATATTATCCAGTTGGCTAAATCACATTTTGATACTGAGGTGTTCATTTTGATGTTGCCAGTGCCTGATAATGATGATGAACCCCTCCTACTTTCTTTGGTTGACCATCACTGAGTGTGGCAATGGCAAAACACAGGTTATGGATTTGCAAGGTATGATATAAGTCTCAGAGGTAGTATCATTAACAGGAGTCGAGTAGGATCATTAATGATGGAAACTTGAAGACTGGCGTTAGCTCAGAGTTAAATAAATAATAAATAAATCCTAGTAGCTCAAACCAGTACCATCATATTGCGACTGGCTTCTATATGGGAGCTGTAATGTCTTGATTGCAAAAACAGTGTCCACATTCCAGATGGCCGCTGTCACCACACCTTCTGTACATTGAATTACTCCTCGAATGAGTTTACGTTTTACCGGAGCGACACTAGCTCAGTTGGTGTTTGTCCACTGATCCAAAGGTTGGTGGTTCGTTCAAATCTTGTTCACAACATAAACATCATTGATTGAGCATCAGATCCACCGAGCTACAGTGTGATTTCAGCTCCACAGATAAATGCTGTCAATGTGTCCTTGGGCAAGACAGCCCCTCTCTCCCAGTGTCTGTAAACACTAGTGTATGAGTGTGTGTGTGGATGGGCTGTGGTTCCTTGATGTAAAGTGCTTTGAGTGTCTTGAAAGTGGAAAAGCCTTATATAAAAATGTGGTCATTTAGCCTTACCGCTGAGTATTGTTTTGCTAACTCTGTTCTTACTTGAGCTGTCTTTCCCCATTCTGCTTATCATCACTCCTGGACATGTCAAGCCTGTAAAACCTAAAGTTTGTTTAACTTTTGATTAAAAAAAATAAATTACCCAAAATGCCACTCAGCATTTTTAACCCCAGCGGAGATAAATCACACGTGTAAATCCCTGTACCATAATTTGCTGAGCCAAACGTAAATATAACTCTGAGCTTGTAGCAGCAGACCACACCTAGAGGAATCCAAGCGTGCCACCACCACACAACAGTGCACGACTGAGCCTCGTCTCCTGACTTTAAGCTAACTGTACTCCTGCGCTGAAAAAGCCAGCGCTGCACTGATTACAGGTCCCTCTGCCCTCACAAACCGCTCTTCGTCCAGGCCAGATTTGGAAAGCTTGTCCTTGGGTAGAAAAATTAGCACAATGAAAGGGTTGGTGTTGTGTTTTACGGCGTTTGCATAAAAATGACCACAGACAAAGATGTGTTTTCTGAGTTAGTCATAGTCACTGGTGCAGAATAGTTCCTTCCTTGGATCACTTTTGATAGATATTGACCACTGTAAACCAAGAACGGGGCTGTGGTTTCGAACTCAAGACATCACCACTCAAACTTCCAAATCTTTCTAACAACTTCTGGAAAAGATGATGGTTAGCCTTTTCTCCAGTATTTCATTGGTGCTAATATGGTTGTGCCTAAGGTTGTACAAATTTGGAAGAATACTGAAATGCGATTTTTCTGATAAGCATTTAGATTGCTCAAAGTTCACATTTTGACAAACTAATATTAGAATCATATTTCAGACAATGTTTGTAGATCTAAATCACAGGGTTAACAGTTTCAAAGCAGAATAAGCCAAAGATTTAGTTGTTTGTAGAGGATATTAGATTGCAGCCTTTGTGATTTGCGAATTGCATCGATTCAAACTGTGACTCCAGCTTTCTTATGAAATATGTGGCTTTCTGTGAAAAACTGAATTTGAATGGATGGTAAACTAGCGATATTTCTTGTGTGGAGATGGTTTTGTAGAGAGATATTGGTTAGACGATGATAACCCCTCTGCTCCTCAGACCAGGGATCAAGCTGCTGTAGGGATCACGGCTATTACTCCCATAGAGCCCTCCTCTAGTGCACTTGTGGATTATGGGCTTCTTGAGATATTCAGCAAATACTCATGAGATTTCTTTTGTTTGATATGAATAAATTAAAGATAATTATTCTCTTACCATTTTTGACAACAGTTTGTAATTGAAATTGCAACCTATGGTGTCCCAGGAGAGACAAACTGGTTCATTCTAAATCAGTCCATCTCTTCCAAGTGCAACAAGCTTTGAATACCTAATTCTGAAAGCATTTTGGATGTAGATGCACAAACTCTGATTCTTCATGTAGTGGAGGAGCAGCAGCTTTACGCCAAGCTACTCCCAGTTGACCGAGATTCTTACCCAAACTGCAAAAGGATTTGTATCAAGGATCTCATTGACTCAACTGTGATTTCAATACAGTCCTCAGAATTCCTAAGCCTTCAAGTATGTTCATGGGTTTCTGTTATCGGCAACATTTGGATTTGAGGATGACTATTCAGAAGATTTGTTTTAAATTGCTAATCACTATGGTTCAAATTTATCTTCTGAAACTTTATTTTTTCTTGAACAGACAAAACACATTTATGTAAATACTTTCACGGTTTTCAGTGGCTTCCAATGTCGAAAAAACGGAACAATACAACAGCACTACAACAGTTCCATGTCTCCATTCTTTTTCTGATCTTTGCAAATACACACAGAGCTTCTCAGGCTTATCACGAGTGTATGACAGTTTAACTGACGTCACTGGTCTACAGAAACAAAACAGCGCTTACCAACATCGCATGCAAACCAATGTGATAAAGTCCCTGGTGTCACAAAGGAAACTCAAACAGACACCTTGCTGAGACTGTTAATTATTAATACGCTGCCAAGCCTAGATGAGATCTCCTGGTATGATCAAATATACATTATGGTACATAAAGTAGATGGTTCTTATGGTTACCAGGACACAGGCAAGAGGTAGCAGCTGGTCTATTGTGAGCTGAGATAGCAGGACTTGCAGCCCATATGAAAAGACAGGAAGAATTTAAAACATATATAGGATCTGTATTGAATCATAAGAGTGAAGATAGTAATTAAAATAGGAGCGCTGAAAATTAATTGCATATTTGATTAAAACTTTGAATGAGTTAATGACAGAACTATGGGTGGGACCATCTCACTCAGTCAATTCATCTGGTGTAATTCTCAGCGGCACGAGCAGCTTTCAACCCACTCATTAAAGTTTGATTCATTTGATGCTAAAATCACGGCAGGACCAGCATACGGAAGCAGGGAGCCGAGCCACACTTCGCTGAATAGATTTGAAAATGGTGATTAATCAAATGTTAATGATTTTCAAAATACTAAAACTAATTAAAATGAAAATAAAGCAAGGCACAAAACCTGGATTATACAAGTACAAGCTTTTCCTGTCTAGAATTTGGAAGAAAATTATTTGCACAAACATGAAGTTACATAAATAGATTAAAAAGACATTTAACACTGAATTGTTTTAAAGGGGTACTAGCCTGTTTAGCCTGGAATATTCCACAGAATGGCATAAAATCTTGCATTTTCCATGGAGACAAGCAGGAAGTTCAATAAATGAATTATTTTTATTAATACTTCATATGGGTGTAACGATATCCAAGTCTCCCAATATTGTCACGGTATGAACCTCACAGTACAATACTGTTAATATGGCAAAGGAGAAACATCAGTTTGTTGACTGGAAAAAAGTTTGTTTGGTCGAATACGTTTCACAGGTCATCCAAGCTTCTTCTTCAGTTCTGGTAACAGCTTGGATGCGCTGCAAAACGTATTCAACCAAACAAACTTTTGTCCAGTCAACAAACTGATTCTTCTCCTTTGCCATGGATTCTACCTGGACAAATGAGGGATCTGTCACAAAACTGTTAATATGCTACTTTTTCCTCTTAAAATACCTTGACAAGACTTAAAAGTGCTTAGAACAGTTATTTCTTCTTGTAGTCTGCACTGAAATGGAGCAAAGGATCATGGTCTATGTAGTTCTCTCTGTCTTTTTTAGCTTTTGCGGCACCATAACTCTTAATTTAAGCAAAGAGACTTGTGATTTGATATATTGTGATGGTCCTCATTATTATTGCAAGAACTTTGATGATATGATATGATATCATGACGTTTCAGTTATTGTTACATCCCTACTACGTACATTTTATTACTTAGCCCGCAATGTTCCACAGAATGGCATACAATCTAGCATTTTCCATGGAGACAAGCAGGTAGTTCAATAAATGAAAGATTTTTATTAATACTTTGCTGTAACATATGGTGGCTCTAATGATGGAATGGACAGGAGCTACAATGGTGACACAATGCACACATTAGGAAACACTGTCAAAACATTTCTAAGGTTGTCTGAATCAATCCGATCATTCATGGACCTGGGTTAGGTGTTTGATTTTCAACAAAAAGGTGAAAGTGACTAACTGAAAAACTGTTGGCTGATGCTAGCTAGTTTGTGACTGTAATTTTATGTGTGAGATTTGTTTAACAGCACAGATGATCTCACCTGTTGCAGCTCAAGCTAAGTCACTTCTTCGTGGTCAGACTGTGTTAAAATTAAGCACAAATTAAAGTCTAACAAATAATCAGACAGAGCAGAGTTAGCATCCCATCCCTAGGGAATGTTGAGGACAGCTGCAGAATATCTATTGTTTGACCTGGAATGTTCTACAGAGTGGCATCAAATTTTGCAAAATCCCTGGAGACAAGCTCGTAACTCCAAAACAATAAATGAAATATAGATATGTTTATACCCTACTGTAGAACATTCCAGGAAGAGCAATAACATTTTTATGAGACAAGCAAGTGACGAACCCTCCACCAGAAAAGTTACAAACCTTTAAGAATATAACATAGATAAAACTGCCTTTGTGAAAATATCCCCAAGACCCTATCTTGTGATGTTTGACAACCATTTACTCCTCACTTCCTTTCGCACATTCCATCTCTCCTCTGGGCATCCGTAGAAATTTTATAGGATCACAATACCAATAAAAGAAGCATACAGTGGACAATAACACATGAGCAGTATAATCTTATTGAATGTGGGCCTATGCCTTCCGTTTCAAAGCCGCAGTATACTGTGAAAGATGCTGAAGCAGCCCTTCATTTGTTCTCCGTCCCATTTAGAGACACAGATGTTAAGCAGCCTGACAGATTGAAGCAAATGATCCTTTGAACATATCGCGCTGTTATGGGACAATTGGAGGAGATAAAAAGACAAATTAAACAAAAAACATATGTAAGTGTTTGTAATGAGAATTGACTTGGATCTTAACCAGTGAACAAGTTAAATATAAAATCACATGGGTCTATACATACTCCTACACATGCCAAACATTAGAGTTCTGTGATGCCAACTCAGAAATTAGCCTTGTCTAGCCTGCTGTCTGAAAACACAGACTTGATGAATATCGTTATTTGGTTAAAATTTCTGTAGATATATTAAACAGCATGTAGCCAGCCTATTCTAGTCATAGTTAAATAAATGTTCAGTGAAATAAATATTGTCTCTACAAGTAGCTTAATTCATTATCAGTTAGCAGAGGTGGGGACTTGCAAGTCGTCACTTGAACTCAAGTCAGACTTCACTATTTTTAGGACTTGAGACTTGATTTGATAAAATGGACTAAGACTTGGGACTTGACTCGGACTTTGGGCCTGTGACTTGAGAAGACTTGAGAAGCACATTTAAAACTGAAATCTTTCCATTCTTACCATAATGATTCACACTAAGAGCTTGTCAAGACATTTAAAAAGGAAAAATTAACTACATTTCTACAATTCTTATATAAATACTCATGATTTTTTACACTATGATTTTTTAAACACAATTTAGCATAAAACATATGGCTAAAATCCAAGCTAAATTTGGTACTTTAGTTTAAAGACTTTAAATGACTTGAAGTTCAAAGCAGACGACTTGGATTTGACTTGGGACTTATGAGCCAGTGACTCGAGACTGGACTTGGACTTGCCTGTATTTGACTTGGGACTTGACTCGGACTTGAGGTCAAAGACTTGAGACTTACTTGAGACTTGCAAAACAAAGACTTGGTCTCACCTCTGTCAGTTTCTAATGTGAACTCCGAACCAGGCCGTTCAAACCCGTTGTTTACACGTGTATGATGGTAGCAGCAACAGTTAGCATGCTAACAAGGCATAGAAATACACAGGGAATTAAAAGAGTATGAGCTGAAATAGATCTGACCTACCAGTTCCTTGTACAATGCTCTTGTAGTGCTTTGTTTGTCCTCCTATATCTTCAGGGATGGCCATTTATAAACAGTCTTTGGGGATGACCAGTTTTGCCTTAGTCAGCTGTAACAACTGCAAACACCATGCTGTCTGTGGTGCATTCACTGGGTGTGGGAAATAAAGCTGAGGTATCCAATGTTTGTTTTTTGTAAAAGGGTGTTTTACATGTAAAATTTCAGTGCATGTAAATACTAAAAATGTGACAAAATTCATAACTTCATCCTTTCACAGTTTGAATATTAGGCACTACACACTGAAATTTACTGAGATTGGAGGGTGTGGTCTTGAAAGTTCCAGGTGAGCAGAAAAACGCAAAGCAGCTCTCACTACTGCCATCTACTGGTGTGAGAGCAAATCAAACAGGGACTTTAAAATGACTGAATCATAAACAGTGTTGCATAAAGTGTTTTTACATAGCTTCTATTTTTTCTAGGTTTTCAGTACCCAACTAAATATTTCATGTTTACTTTGAATTATTTGTTCACACCAATAAAATCAATAATCTATTGATGAAAGGTCTAAGCCCACAATGGAAATATGATGCAGGTCATTCACGTTTCTGTCACCACGGCAACAGTCCAGTGCCATACTGTTTGCATCTGTGCACGCTCACAGGGTCAGTAATATGCTCCTCTCCCCTGTGACCTTTTCTACATAGCAACAGTCAAATTGAACAAATCAACATTGAGACGTCTCTTCAGATGTTTTAGTTCCCAGGCTGAGCTATAAATGAAGCCGTAACCTTTTCAATAACAATGGTTTACAGCTATTTGATAAGACACACAATCCAATATACCACTGCGCCTCAGGCTGATATTGTTGCCATAAACATGACACATTTCAGGGTCAAACCCCCTTTTCATTAAGGGCTGTGTTAGTAATGTGAAAAATGGTAAGAGAAACAGATGTAGAGATTAAAAAATAGCCCACAGTTTAAATAATTGTACTAAACATGAGTGTTGTAGCCTATTACAAGATAAATTATTCTGATTAATACAGTTTTGCTTTTAAAGTTAATGACACATTTTATAGATCTATCATAAAATAGAGGGAATGGGTTATCATTGCACGTACTTAATCATGTTATGTTATTATAAATTGCAAGCTAAAAGAAAATGGGCCTAGTTTAGTGAATTTACCAATATTAACTTTAAATTGCATCAGATTTTTCCTCTCTGTTTCGAAGTCTAATGAGTCACAGAGCATGACTCAACATCAGTGTGGAGATCAAGGGCCCATCATTAATTCCAATTTGAAAGCGAAAGCAATACACAATACACTGAACAAACTCTAGACGACACAGCGGTGGGGGACTGCTGCCATCTAGTGTACACAGAACACACTGCAGGATTGACTAAACATTTGAACAGTGTAATAGGCTGCATTGTGTCTATTTTTCACTTCACAAATTATTTCAAATCAAAGTATAATAGTTGTTCTTTTTTTGATATTGTTTCGAAAAAAATAAAAAATAAAATTGTCAATTAAAGGACAATCAATAATTTCTTATTTGCAAAAAATATATAGGTGACAACACCAATTCTTATAGTGGAAATAGGGTTAGAGAATCACAATTAGTTTAGTCACACTGATTTAAAAACAGACATTAACTGAATTACATTTTCAACTTTTATTTTCCATTGCACAGTAATCTTTATCTACAGAATGTCTAAATCTTTGTGGCAGCAGATAAAGTCATAAACATCCATGTGAAAGTTGCATAAAACTGTACAAGAAAATTGGCTACAATGAGAAAAATACTGCGACCCACTGATAACTGTTGACTCCAGGACAGAAGATGGCAAATGGCAGATAGACAGACAGACTCCCTCTAGTGGTCGAACTATTAATGTTCATTCAGGTGGGAATACTGCATACAGTAGAAGGTAGGGTGGGGACAACAAAACAGAAATAACTTAAATTAAATTAAATAAATAAATAGGGAAGGGAACAAAACAAAAGGAACTGAAGCAACATTTTGGGAGAACCGGGAAATAATGCAGTTTTCCCTGAAATAAGGTACATTTTACAAGGAATTTGACAACACACACACACCACAATGAAAATCAATGAGCACACAAGGCAAAATATTAGTCTGAAAACTGTAAAACAAAGTATGTGGTAAAGTGGAGGTCACCTTATAATGCTGCAGTGGTGTAAGTACACGTGGTAAAGGGAGCAACAGAAATGGTTCTACATAATGAAACCAGAGAAATACAATGGCAGACATAAACACATATAAGAAGTGTTGTGGTGTAATACAGGAGTGAGGGACACAACCTCATTGATCAACAACTGAGTCAATTCAACTGAAACATTTATTCAATGTTACAACATACCATGATGGATGCTCAATCTTTTTTTAACCTCAAAGTTCGAGTGAATATTTCTATATGCTGACCTGATTTAAGCCGGGATCTTGGCTCTATAGATGAAAGCTGTGCCATAGACAAATGCCCAACACTCATGATGCACAAACATGAAAATGCAATGAAAAGATAAAGCAACTCTTTGGCGTCAGAAAAAATATGGCCTCTCTCCTCTGGCGTTGCATCAGCAACCATTATATGTACGTTCCACTTATGTACTTTCTAGTTGGTCTTAGATTGTCAACTATTTACTTATATACAAATAAAGGTTAAAAGCCAGGTAGACAGAGAAAAGGACACATTGGAGTGTTCAGCAAATGGAAATACAGTAGAAACGCAACATTTCTGACACCGGGTTCTGCACCTTAGAAAATAAAGAACAGACTTAAGAGCTTCTCATACAAAACAAGTGTAAGAAAAATAAGCGAGGTCTTAAAGGAGTACACATATGTGTCAGTATTAACCTGCATATATGAGTACACATAAATAGGCCTTCTACTCATGTGTATGTCATCCAACACATCTGGCTTTGTGTCACACATCATCAGCATTTGTAAAGTAACACTTAGAAAGGGATTCACTGGAAGCAGATGACAGTGGAGGGAGAGTTACTACTTCATATGTAGGAATGGGAACTCAGGTAGACAAGTTTATTATGAGAAGTTCATAGATAAATTTCTATATCAAGTAATGCCATGTCACTGAATCAGGTTTGCCTACACAGCCTTCCCTCCTCGTGTTCCAGCCCTTTGCAAAAGGATAACTTAACTTAAATTAACTTCAGCCTTTAGACAAGTTTTTTTTTCCTCTCAACAAATCAAATAGTTTCTACTTTCACAATATAAAAATAAGAGATTTTCCAATAATACAGACCAGAGCCAAAAACAAACAAAGTGAGGATTGGCAGAGAACATATAAATTAACACACATATATTCACTCACACACTGTAGGTAACACTATGAGACCTGTGGATAGAGGAGAGTCTGCAGTGAGATGGACGCTGCACTTCCTGTGGCGTTTTGCACTGTGTCCTTGGGCCTTCTGCTCTGTCCTCGTTTGAACGCGTCACTCGGAAGTGGATACAGCATTGCACATTAATTCAATTCATTTATATATAATGATGTATTCAGAATAGCTATTTTTTACATTTTCTTCAATAATTTATAGTCACTTATAATAATCGTCTTTCTTCGTTGTGTTCGTCGGTTTGAATACTGGCCACAAAAGGCTTGGAGTGAAGACAACAGTAAAGGGGACAGTTTTGGCAAATGAGAATGAAGAGTCTCCAGGATCGCTGACCAATCAGAGAGCTCCGAGCGAAGAGATGAGTGACAGAACACATAAAAAAGACACTGTTTTGTCCTTCTCCCCCATGTGCCCCTCAGTTCCAGTGTCCAGAAGACTGAGGTATAGACAGTGTTCGTCATTGTGCTAGGGAAGAAGCTCCCGAAAGTTCGAGTGAAGAAGGCCAGGAGGGATGGACGGAGAGATGGACGCGATGGATGACCAGCTGGGCCCCGGGCCTGATCAGAACTGGTACCACTTTTTATCTTTGCACTTGAGCATCATCTGTGAACAGAAGAGGATTGGTACTTCACAACTTTTTTTTAATTTTTATTATTTATTCATTTTTGTTATTGGTACTTCACAAATACTGCACTGGGGAATTCATTTTATTTATATGACTGCTAGATTTCAAATGAAAGGTTTCAAATATTAGAAACCAGACCAGTCAAAAGTTTGGACACACTCTGTCATTCATTTTTTTTATTTTTTTTTATTTTTATTTTTACTTCTACTGAATTGTTTATAAATATGGAAGTAAAGATATAAGGAATTATATAGTAAAGAAAATATATATCTTATATATCTTACTTCATATATTTGATGTCCTCTGCATGTATGTAAAATGTAGAAAGTCGAAAAAATAAATAAATGTGTCCAAGCTTTTGATTGGTAGTTTACTTTCTTTAAGGTTATACTGTATACTGTATTACAGTTTTGTCAGGCTCTCTTAAATACCTCTAGACCACATAAACTATATATACATATATTTCTTTTTGAGTGTTTCATTACAATGAAAAAAGCACTCATTATAAAGTGCTTTATAATGTGCTTCTATAGAATTATGTAAATACACATTCCACTTTAAAATGGTTGTACACATTTTGCGGTACCTCATGGGCATGTTTTGAAAAGGTATCTGCGCTGGCCATCATAGCAGCTGTCCTGTCCTCCAGCTCTCCCAGTTTCTGTCCCCTCTCGTCCAGAGCGATCCGTGCTCGGGCCAGGTCTCCCACCACCCCCGAGGCGGCGCCCTTCATGCCCTCGATGCCCCCTGGACCCGGGATGTGCTGAGCCAGAGTGCGGGAGGCTTTGCCAGCTGCCACCTCGCCAACTGAAACAGACAGAGCAGGGGGGGTTAAATAGAGTCAATAACAGAGTAATAGATGATATGTCAAATTAAACATACACAGCTCTTCTCTGTCCAGGGACTGTGCTCCGCCCCCAAAAAGGCCTTTGAAGAAGCCTCTGTTTGGAGCCTCTGGTGTCTCCACTGGAGTGAACAGCTCACCAAGCATCTCCTGTCACAGGACATAGGATCAGTACAAAAGAGTAGAAGAATAATACAGATGAGAGCGGGACTGACCTGCAGGTTTTCACAGACTTCCTGGCTGTAGGTAATTCTCTGGATCTCGGTGGGGGAGCACATGTACATGGCCTGGCCCAGGTTAGAGAAGCAGAACGTCCGGGCTATCCGCATGTCAGTCAAAGGCAGGTAGTTTACATCCATGAGTGGTCTGAGGCCTGGTAAACTGCACACAGAAAAGAGGTCTGTTAAAAGCAGACACTTTGTGCCTCAAACAAGATGTTCTCTGGGGTTACTTCTTTATAAAAGATTAAGAAGTTTAAGGCAGCCACTATGGGCCATGAATGAAACAATTAATCTCATTTTACAGTGTTGTTCATATTCTGAGAACTACAGTCTCTAACTAATGTGATCAGTTGATTGGTTGGTTGAAAACATGGCTCATGATCAACAACTATCCTCCTGAAACATCCGCAGCACAAGGAAATCAGACCAGGAACAAGTGTATTTATCAGGACTAACACCTCCATGTACATAGTGTAGTTTGTGTGGTTGAATCAAGCAGCTTCTCTGCTTAAAGTGTTAACCTCTCAGCACAGTGTATCCTAAATTAAACTAAGATCTGATGTTGTGATAAAGGATCAGAGAATCCTGAAGGACTTTCGGAGCTACACTGAGGACAATGTAGAGGCGTAAACCCATTTCCTCTGCTTGGACAGCTGGCTATCCCCGCTCTGTTACACATCCATATGGAGGCCAGCTCTGTCTCTGCTCCAGGGAAGATTAATGAGAGGAGCTTCAGACTGATCCAGCCCTCTCACTCGCACCTCTCTGTCCCTGAGAGGGGATCAGTGCTGAGGTGCATTCAGGACACAAGAGGGGTGCAGGCTTTAGAAGACTAGCCTAAATGGGAGTCATTGACAGGTCACTTTGGTAACAGTGCTGGAAATAAATACTTAGAAAACCGTTTTCAGTTGTAGTAGTACCAATAGGGTTTTTTTTTTAGCAGTGTTCCCAGTTAATGATAAGATGCCCCTTTTCTTCCATGAAAATGATTTTGGTGGGTGGAAAAGTTGCTGAATGAAAGCACACACCTTTTTCCAAATCTAATTTCAAATGGACCATCTGTCTGCTTTAAACATTCATCTTTGTGCCAAACTGAGTCCCTCTGATTCTAGACAAAGATTAGTCCAAATGTTTAGTTTGGATTACACACACCCTGACACCTGGCTGCTGTTGGCAAACTCTTGTTAGTAATATAGTGCCAAAAGTATGAGAATCAGGAAATTGATTTATCAAACACATTTCCAGATACCAAAAGTGATTATTTCAATTACTGACACGATGGACTGGAGTGAGACAGTATAACAGCACCGTATGATCCCCGTATGATAATAGAAGCCTTAAAACTCTGTGTAATCCCTCAGTCGTCCAGGTAAGATCCATGGCAGAAAGATTCAATTCTATCAACCGGATAGTTTTTGAATGAATTTTTGTCCAGTTGACAAAACTGAATCGTTCTTTTCTTTTGCTTTTGTTTATAAAGAAATACATTTTAAATTCCCTAGTGTAGGCAACTTGAGGGAAAAGAGAAGCTGGAGCATATGATAAAATGTAAAGAACGAAGGACTCATATGTTACTCAGATACATGAGAGTGTGAGTAGAAAATATTAACACATGTATTTTAACTTTAATTTTACTTGTAAATTATTGAAGGAAGCAGGCTTTTGCACCCTTTTTTTTTTCTTTTACAGAGAAGCAAACTTACAGTCAACAATGGAATTTCCAAAATAAAGTTATTTTTGTCAGAGATATTTTAAATCCTTTGGTGTTATAGTTTGATGTCAGCCTTGTTATTGAAAATGTGTAATGGGAGTCCTACCTGAGGGTCATGATGTGTCCGTTGGCGCAGAAGCAGGCCACACAGGCTCCTTGGCTCATGTGCACGACATCAGCCCTCAAGATAAAGGAGGTCTCTGTGATGCTGTGTTTGTAGATGCAGGTCTGCGAGGGCAGAGATATGACCTTGGCCTGCTTCTCGGAGCAAACCACAGCGTACTGGCTCTCGCTCAGGTCCTGGGACGTGGAGGGGGACACAGACACGGGACGGCGTTTTCTGACCCGCTCCTCTCCGTCTGTAGTGATGTTGGGCTCAAACCAGGGCTCGTACGCCGGGGGCAAGTGAGAGCCTGACGAGTCCAAGAAGGACATCCGCAACACACCGCCTTTGAGACGGACCAGCATGCCTGAAAATACAAGATGTATTCATGTCAACTCTACATGCTCATACAGTCTAAATGTGACCAGTGTGCCCACTTTAGACACTAATCTATTTAAGTACACTATGCAAATTCTCTGGTAGTGGGCACGCCACCTGCCTGTTTCCATGGAGATTTTATTGCTTTACCTGGAATGTTTCATTGTACAGCATTAAACTTAACTGGGAAGAGAGACAGAGACCAGTAGAGGTAAGGAGGAGACACCACCAGGCCAGAGCAAAGCAATAATATTGCCATGGTAGCAAACACCCCATCAGAAATGTTACATACTTCATCGTTAAGTAGATCTAACAGTAAACAATTTTGAGAAGATTTATCAGTATATTTGTATCACTGCTTCATACTGTGATTGGTGATTGATTTATAAGCACTTAAATTCTAATTTAACAAAATCCTATTTCCATTTATGTATGTGTGAAAAATGTAACAACATGGTTTTGATAAGCCACACACCTGCGGGTGAAATAATAACTGGCTGCAGCTGCCGTTGCTCTCCAGCAGGAGGCATTGTGACTGCTAAACACAGCACTGTGCCCAGAGAGGTGCCCACAAACAGACATGGGGTGAGGATAGTGTCTCCTTTGCGTGCGTAGGTCTCACAGAAGTGGAAAGAGGAGATGGCCTCTTTGGACTCTTTGTCAATGCTGGTGACGCTGGAGGAGCGCGAGCGGCTGAACGAGTTGTCCCGGTCTAAAGGGTTGGCACCCCGGGGTGGGCACACGGACAGGAGGACAGTGGACACAAGACAGAGAGGTAAAGCACCCGCAATACAACCAGTACAGACACACACTAGATCTATGAGGACAAACACATACACAGGGCCTATCTGATGTAGTAGTTTAGAAGGACCTATACTACATAAGACCATAGAACGAGATACAACAGACAATTTCCTTTTCAGATTTAGTAACTACTTAATTAAGAGGTTAGAGTCTTGAGTAAGTAGTTACTAATACTGAATAAACTAGTCTTTCATTATAAATTAAAGTGTATTCATTATAACATGTGTCTTTAAAGGAACCCCTGAGTCTAGAACACAAAGAATCAATCTGCAAACATATCATTCAACACTGGAAAACTATGACCATTGTGTATCCCTAGACAGCTGAGATTCTGGAATGAGAAACACGACCTGGGACAGACTGTATGTTTCGTTAGTAGTAGTAGTAGTAGTAGTAGTAGTAGTAGTAGTAGTAGTAGTAGTAAGTAGTAGTAGTAGTAGTAGTAGTAGTAAAAGTAGTAGTAGTAGTAGTAGTAGTAGTAGTAGTAGTAGTAGTAGTAGTAGTAGTAGTGGTTGTTGTTGTTCTTGAAGGCACTGAGATAAGCCCTGGTCCTACAGCCCATGTGAAGATACTGATGAACCACTGAGCCAGAGAAATGACAGACGTGAAACACAGAGTAGAAAAGTGGAAGCTTTAGCCAAAGCTTTACAGTGAGATGGAGTGCTTAGCTATAGCATCACTGACCTCTGCTTAGCACCCACCGAATTCTGAGGTGGGCCTGTCTTTACAGTAATGACAAATTTAATGTATTTGTTTGGAATGCTATGACAGATCAGTGCTACTGGTGTCTCATGCAAACTCAAGATATGCCTTGCTTGCCGAATTTGAGTCTAAAAACCAGATAAAACTGGACCAATGGAATGGGGTGGAGTCCAGTCGATGATTAAATAAAATACTGGATACATCATTTTTAGAGACACGAAGTCAAGGCTTACCCAAGTCTGGCTTTAGCTCAGTAGGCAAGCTTAATTTCCGTGACATCTTTGCTGGAAAAAAGAGAACATCCCTCTTTACAAACACACATCTAAGCTATCACATGATGCCATGCAGAGCTAGCTTGCTTGCTAGCACAGGGATAAATGTGTGCAGGCCAGTAAATTAAACAGACTGTGGAACAATGCCTGAGGACCACTTCATTTAAGAGATGCTTTAACACTAGACCAGTGTAAAGACACAACCTGTCCGAGCACAGAGGCATGCACACTAGACACACACAGACCACCTCCAGACAGAGTGTCCTGGAGAGACACACAGCCCCATGCCCCAGCCCCAGCATGCAACAGGAGAAAGAAAGATCCAACAGTCGATGGAGGGAGACAGTGGAAAAGAGTCCAGGTACAGCAGAGCTGCTTTTCATACAACGCCCTTCCATGTCCCCAGACCATATGCATATCTTCATATAAGGCAAAATGCACTGATAATATTAGAATCTCTATTCTAAATATTTCAGATTTACTATAAAGTCAATTTAAATGAGGTTTTAGAGTTGAACTTGAAAGCAGTGTGTACATCTTGTAATCCTCTCTCCTTTATGTAATTTTATGCTCTTGTATTTTGCTCAAGCAGATCTGTAGATGTATAGTTATAGTGACCCTGGCCTCTTAAATCTGTACCCATAATAGAAATATTGGCCTCAGTTCTTAGTCCCAACCTGAAAAATACTATAGTGCATACCTATTTGGCAATTGACAGAAGAATTTTTTTTTTAAACTATACTTTTGAAATAGGGTTTCGGTAGTAAAGGACTGCTGAATACGAAGAACAAACGACCCTGAACAACTTACCTGTGTATCATAAAAAAATAGAATAAAACATTTGTGATTGTCTGTACTGACTTTAAAGCTGTACATTTTGATCTACATACAGTATTTCTTCATATAAAGTAATAGGATACATCCGAAGCTTGAAAAAACTTTTGAGTAATGCTTTATTGTTAACACTAAATACTTAATATTGAAGGATATAATAAATTGTGTAGTCTCAAGGTCAAAGGGTTGGGTCAGGTATGACACAGGTGGACGACAGTCGTGCTACATACATGTAGCATGCACATCTGTAAAACCTCCTTCGGATTTGCGAGTTTTGTGTTTCTGAGTCCCATCTGCCCTCTGGGTTTGCCTCATCTTTGAGCTCCATAAGATCAGAGGCCACCCCAGAGCAGAGGCAGAGGACTCTGCAAGCCCCACTTTCAGAAAAGATGACATTTCCACAAATGCTTGTACATTATGTTACTTGTTACATATGTGATAGAATGTACTTTTGTGTCTTTAGAAATATCCATCTTCACACAGGTTTGTTACATGATGTCTGCATTTAGAATTGTCAAAGCATTTCATGAATGTGGCTTTGCAGTGGTCCCTGTGTTTCCTCCTACAGTCTATGACACACAGGACACACAGGATTTCTACAGACAAAGGGAACAGGGGACAGTCTGGACCACTTCAGTCTGGACTCCGGTCTTGCTAATCTTACCTCCTCTACCACCTCCATTGTAGAATTGCTGTAGATTGCTGTTTGACGACAACACTTTTGGAGTGAAAGGTAAAGTAGAGTCAATGTGTGATTCAAAACACCCTTTACCCTGACTACCATCTACTATAATGACAAAAATGTAATTATTTATATAGTATCACCACAGTGTTTAGTATAGCAGTCTTTTTATCCCATTAAATACTTGTATCTTAAAGGCAAAGGTCAAGCTAAAATAAGGCACTTAGCTCTGGCTTAAATAACCTGTTAAGTGCAGTAGAAGCCACTTTATCTGTGTGTCTTATGAATAATGCAGGTACAGCCTGCTACAGGGCGTCTGGTGGCTGAGACACACTCCGTACCTTCAAGTGCCCAACTCCAGACAATTGTTTCCTTTATGACCTTTTCATAAAAACTTCTCATTGTTGGCTAATGTCAAGTTAGCTGTAGCAACATGTTTCAGGTCTGTGGATCAATCACATTCATGCATATTTAGAGTTTGTCGAGGCTTTTGAATATTTGAGGAGAGATAAATGCTGATTGAAGTTCACTCTTTCACATCTGTTTGCAGTAGTAATAACACAATTATCTAACATATTTCAATAATGTTTCTATTTGTAAGTACATTACCTGACGTGGGGGACTTGCAGCGGTCCTCAGATGTGGCAGAACCCTCATTGATATCACAAAGACCTGCGAAATAAACAAAACAAACTTCATATCACAGTGTACTTCAGCCCTTGACAAACCATTTACTCAGTGCATGTTTTGAGTGTGTGTTGTGACATTGACACTGAGGCGCACAGCCAGGCAGACAGCAGCAGCCCCTGTTGGCAGAGTGCTACAGTGGAGCGGGTGATTACTGCCCTCACCCGTGCCAAGCCCTGACAGGAGCCAACCCACTGACACCAAATGTGCATCTATGCTCCTCTTTAAATCTCATTACAAAGCATCACCACGTATAGCCTGTTTATCTTATCATTTTATTATTAAGGCATTTACAGCATTTCATCGTTCATATTTTCCCTTTGTATGAATGTCACATTGTTGCGACACTGCAGTAGCCTTCTTGAAGCTGCACTGATGGTCTCCAGCACTAGGGGGCAGTGTATGCATTCATAAGCTACTGTGTATAGCAGGGTAAAGAGTGTAATAACCATAAAGCTGCAGTAAGACCAAACATGTTATGGAAGAACACTTTTTGTGAAAATGTCAAAGATACAAAAGAACTACACTTTGTTTCTATAACAAGGAATGGCTAGTTATGGCTGGTTGTGATTTAAAAACATATATTCACTTCTTTACTACTTTTTTAAACTACTATATATTATTTTTATTTACATTTTACACCTTATGTAAAATGCAAATAAACATAACAAAAACAAAGACATAACAATAGATAATGAATAGTATTTTATGCAGAATAAGACATGGAATTTTGAAATTGCATGTTTTGAAATTTACTAATTGTGTCTATTGGAATTGCGAGTTTGATTCGACTGTGAGTAATCTTATTTGGGTCTCTGAATCAGTGGCCCACTGCCTTGTTTACAGGCCATGGACAGGATAGTGTGTGAGCCAATTGTAACAGTGGGTTGGTGGAGGCAGTGACAGGTCCCAAAATACCTCCAGAGGGCTGCCTTGTCTTCCGAGGCGAGCGGGGCTGTCTCTGGTACGGGTCGTTACAGCCGTAAAGCTCCACCGTGCCCAGGTTTAACACCACTGTTTTCTGGATGTAGTCCACCACCGCCAGACCATTACTGTTCCCAAACACGACACTGAGCACAGGAAAAGGGGGAGAGAGGAACTAGTTATGACAATGACTGAAAACAAAATAAAGCCAGTAAGAGTTTTGTTGCTGGAAAATGTCATCTCCTTCATAGAGGATGATCGTAATGAACTCCACTTAAGTTAAATCTGTCTTAAAGAGTCCACCACCTGCTTGTCACTATGAAGGTGTTATAAGTTTGCTTGGAATGTTCCACAGCCTGGATTAAATCTTAAATTTATGTTTTAAAGTTATTCATTTGGCAAAGTGCCTGTAATTTAAAAAATCCAATGTAGATAAGTTTAATGCCATAATGTGGGAAATTCCAAACCAAGCAAAGGAGCAAGCAGGTGGCTGACCCCTCCATGAGAACAGTCACATGGTGCATCTTTAAGTAGATCAATTCACATTATTAGTTTTATTTTGACTTTTTCTTCCAAGCTTGCCACAACAGTCCTATTTGGTTGGTATTTTTCTGACACAGTTCATTATTATTATTATTAATTAACAATTACTTAATGATTAAAACCATGTAAAATAGCAAATAACTTGATGTATTCGTTCAGGAAATTAAAAATCAACTGATAAACAACCACAAAAAATAAATATATTAATAACACTTGCATTGTATAACTTTCATCAAAAGCTTTTCTCCATGGAGTTATTGCTTTGTCTGGAATGTTTCACCTTTCTATCTTCATGGAGACCAAACCAGACCAAGTTACAGGTCAGATCTGCGGAAAGGTCCTGTTCATAGTCTGAATGCCTATTTTTCGAGATATTTTTGAGCTATAAAACCACCTGTAATTGAATAAATGTAAGGTAGAACTGTTTAATGTCATACTGTGGGACATTCAAGGCAGAGCAATGACATATCCATAGAAACAGGCAGATGATGGACTCCCAACGAAAAAGTTACATAGTGCATCTTTGACTTTATGCACTGAAATTCAACATAGTAGTATCCTCGACCATGTGTGCATCAGTTATATATATTTGTATATGTATTGACTTATGTGCTACATCAGTAAAGTCTCTACTTACAGGCCGTTAGAGGAGTTGAGGGCTATACTGGTGATCTGCTGCGAGGGCTCTCCACTCACCCACACCAACTGGACCACCAAGTCCACCTGGTAACCGGGAGACTGCTTCAGAGGGGCATTCCGAACCCTGGAGATGAGAGGAGGAGAGGAAAATGAAAGACACAAACAAGAAAAAAAATCAAAGTGAAGAGGCGCAGCTGCAGATCTGACAGAGTGGTGTGTTGAGGGCCCGGAGAGCAGCGGGACGGCTGAGGTGGAGAAGGCTTTAAGTTTGGACAAGAGTGCTTCAGGCAAAACCCCAGCGCTTTGGAGAGAGTAAAGTGCTGTTGGCGCATGTACAAGTTGGCTTGTGTGCGGGGAGCATATATCAGTAGGCTGAAGCTAACCTACGTCACCCCTCAGCCAGTCAGTGGTGGTAGTTCTGTAATTAAGTCTGATTGGTAGAGTCATTCACATTATGAATAATCAATACATTTTTGGCAATGGTCAACCAGTCAACTGAATGTGTGATACAGTGTCCTTACTAATGTTCCCCAGTAAAAAATAAGCATATTGAATTGGTATCTGTTCAAAAGTCTGTGAAATCCGATGTCTGGGTAGACATCCCTCAGATGTCCAAATGAAAAATTAAATTCTGACAATTTTTCTTGTGATGTCTGCTCTAAAGCAATAACAATATATGGCTTTATGATTGAGCCGTAGATTCCTTCATGTGTTAATGATGGAAAGATAAATGTTGTTAACTCCAAAATGGCAAATCCATAATCCTTTAGCTTTTAGAGCTCACAGAACTGTTCAGCAAAATCATGAAATTCTTTCGTCACATCCTCATGCCCTAGAAACAAACATATAGTACTTCTCCAAGATGTAGGGTCCCACAAGGATCAATTTTGGTCCCAATCCTCTTTTCTTTGTACAGGCTGCCATTGGTTTGTTATAAACAGCGGAGCTTCACTGACAACTTCATCTAACTGCCCGAATGATGCCCAGAATTGGATGAACACAAATTTCTTGGTTCATTACAAAAAAATAAATAAATGAATACAATTCTTAAATCTGATAACTCAATCCCTGTGAGTAACCTACACATTTAAACAGTATGGCCTAAAAGTCTCGCAAGATATATCAAATTTACAGAGGACTCTGGGTAGGACTGCAGAAAAAAAATCAGCTGTCCAAAGTTATCTGGTCTGATATAAAGAAACCACTTATACAATAACATGCCATTATATCTACTTACAGTTAGACGCCTCACAATTTAATCATTTTGTACGTACTTGAGGCAGGGGATGTTGCCGCTGTCCGAGTTGTTGCTGCTGGTGGAGGGGTGTGACGGTGGTCCACTGGTCTGGGGGGAGGCTCTGGGGGTGGGGTGTCCTGACATCTGCTCCCCTCCTCCCCCGTCTGGAGAGTCACTGTCATTCAGCTCACACTGCATCCGGACCTCTAGTAACTTCAGGTACACAAACACAGACAGTTAGATGGGATCATTATACTGTAAGTAAGTAGCCCCGGCTTAAGCAATATAAAATTGTAAATAGTGAATGAGCTTTTAAGGGCCCATATTACACTATTTTCTGACCTTGTGATGTCATGCGGTAATATAAGAAGTGCTCCTCTGTGTTTTTAAACTCCATACACCTTCACTAGAATCATTCGGGTGATTTCAGCTCTGGAACTGTCAATTGCTACTGAACAAAAGGTTAACTTGAGAACTTTATGACATCACAAGGTGGAACAGAGCATTTTGAGCTTGTGAGTGAAACAAAACACAACACCAGGAATGTTTTTATGAGGAAACATTATAACATAGATCAGAAAACCCAGCCCATTAAAATGTAAACAAACTCAAAACTGTAACATCCCCTTAACAAAGCTAACTAGAAACAGTATTGACTCCAAAGCAAAAGCAAAGTAATTATATTGATTTATTGCCAGCAGCTCTTTTTTTTTTACTTGAAATGGATGCATACACAGAGTCTAATGAGGATGTATTAGCTTGTAATGTCATCTAGAGACTTATCACTGTGCCAAGTTACATTTTCCACCTCGCGTTTACAAAGGTGTTAATCCCACTTTCCTACAGTCATCAGTGTCAAGGATTTGCAGAATTGTCCAACGCATTACATAAGCAGTCAATCACAAATACTGATCTGACATAGTTCTTTCTCTTCTTTACTAATTGCCAGGCTTCAAAATTCTACAACTAAAGAGGTGGAATTTAATCTGAATGTGAACACTTGATCCTCGGAGCTGATGTTAAAGAAGCTGGAATGAAAGTGAAAGCTTCTCCGATGATCTGAGTGACTTTGACAAGTGCCACATTGTGATGGCTGAACAACTGGGTCAGAACATTGCTAAAACAACATTTTATGAATTCTTTCCAAGATTTAGCAAAAGCAGTATATAGAAAGCAAATGAAGTAAACCAGTAACTCCCTAGTGATCATAAAATTATACTAGGAATTTGGTAAATCAAAAAATCCATTCCTGTGTACTAATACTTATTAAGCACCAGTGATGGGAAGAATACTTTGAAAATGTATTTAGTTACAGAATAGTATTCAGAATAGCAGATTCAAATCTATTTTGTGATGTATTCCTTTACATTGACCAATCAGAGTACTGTATTCCGAATACTTAGAATATGTTTACATCGAGTATGATTTGAATAATAGTATAAAATCGCAACATAGGATTAAAAGTAGCTTCATTATGTGTTTCCTCTTACAAATTAAAGAAGGAAGAGTCACACATTTTTTCTAGGAGTTATATGCAGTTTGAACACAGAATTGTGTGATCAAATACAACCAAGTATTACTTTGAGTTTAGAAGTAACTGTATTCTGAACACCACCAAATGAATAGTAACTGTATCTGAATACTTTTACTCAAAATTAGTATTCAGAAAACATATTCTCGGTACATGTATTCAGTTATTTCCCATTACTGCTAAATAATACATATTAATCTATACTAAACTATTACCATCAAAACCAGATACTCATTTGAATATTGTAAAGTACTGCAAGTTAAAAAATATATATAAACCTGGGAGAAAATTTGACCTTTACTGAAAAGTTTTAAAATGGTCTAAGCCTGACTAGAATAAAGCTTCATGGAAATACTGTACAAACTATTGTATTATGTTGAAAATTACATATTAATGGAGTCAAAAGAAGTATTTTTATTGTCAATGTTGAGCTGATATTGGTTATCTATCAAGCCTTTTCTTTAGTTTGAATTTATATTATCATGACAACAGCAATGGGATCACATTAACAAGTGAATAACATTATCATAAATATGCTGCTTTGAAGATGGAGATGCCTATAATGCAGCTGTATGTGTAGGCAGGTTGAGTGTCAGAGAGGTCCTCAAGAACTGAACTATTGCAGTACTTTCAAGTGTACCTCGGGGCTACTTCTAACCTCCTACTACCTTTGCACAACCACACCATCCTCCTAAACTCCCCCTCTCTCACTTTCTTTCTTTCTTTTCCTCTCTCCTTGTCTCTTCTCTTTTTCTCTCATCTGTTTTGCAGTGTGTCCCTCATTAGCCCCTGCGCCGCCTCTTCTTTCCTTGCATCTTTTTGGTGAGGATACAGAGGCGTTTGACCTTGTGACGGATGACTCTGTTCCAGTAATTACAGCACACTTCCTCAGACTTAACCACGGCACTGATCTACCTCCTGGTCACACACGGACCAGGAGAGAGAGAAACAGGCAAAATGATGGTGAAATTGTCAGCCATTTTACTCTGCCTGCTTTGTCACACACTTTTTATTTTGTTTATTTATATATTTAATAACAAGAGTGATGGAAACGTTACATGAATCTCAAGTAAGAATGACAACAGATGCTGGTGGAACAGTGGGAACAAGGTAATAAAAGCAGTGTCCCTTTTATAATGCTTTTACCTCTTTAACAAATTGCTATATAGGCATCTCACAAACATCCTGTGATTTTCTGGAGTGGCACTAGCGCAGTTAGAAAATGAAAGCTGGAAGTTTGATTACTGTTGCTTCTGTTGTATCCCTGGGCAAGACAATTTAAAAACCTGGTGAAATCATTTTTGACTGCATGTTAATGTGAATAGTACTAATGGAAATGTCATGGATCCAAATGCTTTATAGCTACCAGTGACCTCTAACTGGATTTAAAGTAAATAATGTTGAAAAAAATACAAATCCATATGTTTACAAAGCTGAAGGGGTCTGTTCATTTCACATTTGCAGTCCAAAAACATCTACAGCGTTATTCCAGAAGCTTTCATAACCAACAGTGAAGGACACATCAAGGGCACTAGTTCAAAAACACAGCAAATTCCATCCACCGATCTGTAAGGAAAAACATATCACATATCGCCCACATGCTTTGATTGACAAGAGATTTCTGCAAAGACTAGAGCAACAAAACAGCCCAGCAGTCAGACATGCCAGGATTCAGATAAGAAAAATACAGAGGAACTTGCTCATTATCAGTTTACATAATGTGCTTTAGAAACCATACATAATTGAGCTCCATACAGACTAAAGCTCTTTATGTTATTGGAGTGATGTCTCCACTTCCAGCTCTGTTCCTCACAACTGAGACTGCTCCGTCTGTTGGCATGACAACCATACAGGCTTTGACTCGGCACTTCTCTGAGTGTGTGTATACAATATGTGTGAAACTGGCTGCAGCGGTCACTGAGTTCATATCATAATGGCCTGGTTTGAAACAACAGTTTTTGGGCTTAGCATTGTGTTATGCTGAGACATGATTATAGTAATCAAACAAACATTATGTCACCAACTAATGTCTTCTACTTCCTCCAATACAACAAAAGTTATGAATGTAACTAAGGTTCTATGAACCCCGGGTGACAGCCAGAGGGCGGAGCTGAAAGCACTTACTGATTCCTTTCAGTTACATTTGTAACTTTTGTTCTGTTTCATCCATACTGAACCCAGAAGTCAGTGCTGAAAGAACTGAATAACCGAAGATTGGCAAAGTCAAGAGAAATCTTGAGTTCAGAACTCACAGAGTGGACCCTGAGAACTCCAATTCCTGAAACTCAGTGACTAAGGCATTATAGCAGTCACATTCTCTTAGTGAGTAACCACCTCAAAGATGCAGCACATCGCTGAACCATCTAGAAGCAAAGAAAACTACACCACTTCAAGAAGAGACAATTCACACAACTGACACAGAAGTCACTGCTGAAACTGAGTGGCACCACGGTGCTGGTACTAAAACCAGCCCATGCTCCACAGGCTCATCACTATAAAAATACACCTGCTCTGTGCTTGACAGCAGCACCACATCCAGATCTAGTCCTCAACAGCTCATAGCTACAATCCGGCACGTTTAGCGCATGTATATCATGGATGTTCTTGCACGGTCCAAACCAACTAAACCAACAACAAAGGCATGTGTTATATTTTCTAAATATTGCAAGTCAAAACAGACAGTCTTACATGTCAAGCTCAGGGGCATAACCGTAGAATACCCCACTGCACCAAGCTAGGGCTACTACTAATACTACTGAATAAAAGTACTACTACTACTAGTAGTAGTACTACTTTGAATAAAATTTAAAACATTTTTAGAAAGATTTGTCAGGATTTCAGAATGCACTGAACCAAGTCACTGATCTATAATGCATTGTGTGCCTTTCCTCTCAGTCCCTCGTACCTGGACGACCTCGGTGGTGACCTCTAGTTTGCTGAAGCGGTAGATGAGGAGGTTGGCGGACACTCCAGCCACACACAGCATGCGGCTCTCGGGACACCAGGCCAGGATCTGGATGGCAAAAGGGTCCTCATCTGACACCTCTGTGCTGCCCTTCTCTTCCTTCGACCTGCTCCTGTCAAACACCTTGGCTGTTTTCAGCTTGTAAAGCACCTGGAGCATTACTGCAAAACAAGGAGAAAAATCTTAGAAATGGCATCTTTGTTGCCACATAATTCCCAGAAGTCTTAGCATTTTCATTTTGAGCTTTGTGAATCTGTGCTTTGTAAAAATGTGAATTATTGAAGAAGCCGCGATGCTTCTATGACAGCCTTTGTTTGTTTTGGAAACAAAAATAAGAACGAAAAAAAAAAAAAAAAAATAAAAAATTGGTTCCAACATCCAACAATGATTTACAAAAGCATAAACAGGGCTCTGAGCAAACTTACTTGCAGAGGCATCCCAAAACTTCACAGTTCCATCAGCGTGTCTAAGAGAAAGTAAAAATGAAAACATTTAATTTAAGATTATTTATTTATTTTATCACCCCAAATGCCCCCTCCAGATTTTCCTCCTTGGTAGAGGAACATCTGCATGTAAAAAACTATACAGTTCTGATACAACTCTTTTCCAATTGCCATATATGTAAACTTTCAGCCTTTCAATTTCTACAAATCATTTTTCAATTTTATTTTTTAGTTATCTGAACTGCTAATATTCTTCTTGATTGTGCAAATATCATGCACCAAATTGATTTATTTTGCCTAAAATTAAAAGTTGGAATAGGTCAGTGAGGTCTAGAATTCTCAAAATTGCATTTCTTGTTGGGCGTCCTTGGTTTGCAGTGGTGAAAAACACGTCCAGGAGAATAGTGATGACAGTGATATAAACTTGGCCGCAAAGTTGATGGAAAAAGTTGTTCCATCTTTGAGCAATAAAGAAATATTCATTCAATGCTGATTTAAATACATCACGACTATTGGACTTCAGGAAATGTCCGTAAACTTGACCAAAATAAAATACGCTTTGCTCTCTCACTCTCCAAAGTGTTTACATCGCCAATTCAGCTGTTGGGAAAGCTATATTTTGCAGACTGGGGCACTCTGCTAGCAGGAGGAGTGGAGACTTGCACAGAATAATAATACGGCAAACAGGAGTGGACGAGTGAGGAACATGAGAGGAGAGGAGGAGAGAGAAAGGGAGTCTCCTGGTGCCGAAGCCATACCTCAACATCACATCTAAAGCAGTGTGTGTCCACCCCCCACTCCCCTTGCCGACAACTTGGCAGTGAATTATAAACATCTTAAAGCGACCAAAGAGCGCGTGATTAGAATGCGTTACGAGGTCCATTGCGGTTAATATTTTCTGCGAGGTTTTCAAGGTGGAGAGGTGGCGGGGGCAGAGGATAATGGGAGTTGCGAGGTAATGATAAAGATAATGAAATGAGTGGAGTCTTCTTACCCGGTAATGATGATCTCAGGGTAGCTTTGTGTGCCTTGACCCCAGTTTCCACCACTAATAGGCCATTCCTGGAGAGAAAGTAAAATGTTACGAGATGCAGTATTGGTACAGCAGAGATACAGTACAATTTAGTTGTAAAAAATGTGGGTATTAATAGTAGGGATGTAACGATATCCAAATATCAAAGTACAATATTATAATGATATATGTCTCACAGATTTATTGCAATATTAAGGAGAGTGAATATAATTTTAGATAGAAGACTTTTTTGCTTTTAAAATACCTTGACAAGATTTTGGTGTGAATTATCTCCATCATAATCCCAAAAATTCAAGTAAAAACATATTTCTTCATGTTGTCTGCACTGAAATGGATCATGGGATATGTAGTTACCTATGTTTACAAGCTGTTGCTACTTTAAAACAATGCATTTAAGCAAAGGAACGTGCAATTCGATATATTGTGACAGCCCACGACATTATTGTAAAACTTTTGACAATACGATATCATGATCTTTTGGGTATTGTTACATCCCTAATCAATAGTTAAACTACAATAACATATATTTAAGCAGGTAGGTAGATAAATAAAAAAATATATTTGTGTAATAGTAGTAGTTGTTTAATGTTTAATGTTACAAAGTTGGGATGGAGGGACACTGTGCTGTGAGTGATCATACAAAGTGATGTAATTTACAAGGTTATTAATTTAGGTTAGAAAAAGGATATGGTAAAGGTTAGGAAAATGATAATTTATATAACTTAAGTTATATAACTTAACACGTTGGAAGCAGTAAATGAAAAAAAAGTTACACACTAGCCTTATCTCATCTTATACAATAAAATATAACGTAAAACTATAAAAAATATAGGCTTGTTTAAAGGCAATGGTTTAACGTTTACACATTACCATGGCAACAAGAGCCATTACTTCCACTGGACCTAAAGCTCTAAGTCTATGGCTCAACGTGCAGAAAGATTACTGTCACTCTACAGAATAATCTTGTGATCATTTTCCTTTTCTAATTTGTCATAAATATGCAACCAAAATAGATCAGGTTACATTAGACGGCTGGATCTGCAGAATTGTCACAATAAATTGCAATGGAACTAGTGCTTTCCTTGAATATAATACATACAAAATGAACACATCAGCATACCTGAGGGACACATAATCGTAATTTTTGTAGCTAAAGTCATGGAGGTTAGACATAAAAGCTTTTGACGTGTACAGAGGAGGGGACATACGTTTGAATGGGAGCACAGGGAGTTGCAAAAATGGGAAAGCTGTGGCTACTACATGTCCAAGAGGAAATGTTTGGTGGAGAAAAATTTATAAAACTAAAAACTTCTTTTGGTATGCTAATTTGCACAGGGTTTGAATGATGGTCTATACTAGAGCTAGTAAAAGCCTATATGGGAACATTAAGCATTAAAGGTAAACATTATTTTGTGTTGAAATTTTACTCTACTGCCTAAAAGGTCATTTGTGGTATGGCAATAACGGGTATGAAGGATCAAGTCTTTCCCTTAGTATCAAAATCGAATTTTACATTTCAGTTTTGCGACGACACTTTGATGAACATATCCCAGTACCAACTCAGACCAGCTCACACTGTTGTTGTATTCTTGGGCAAGACACTTCACCCACCTTACCCATGTATGATGGTGTGTAAGTAAGAGATTAGTGTTGACTGGCAGTGCAGACTAGGTTATGAATGAACAATGCATTTAAATAGTAATGTGATTTTGAGCATCTACAAAAGTGTTCCATAACACATTATCAACATCAATAAATGCCAAACTATAAAATAATAAACAATGATCTTAGATGCTCTCACTTCACACGTGACACATGTGACAGCCTCATATAATTACCCACAATGAACCTCAGAGAGCATTAGCATGTGTTTGTGCGTTAGCGGGAGGCTTGGCTTCGTACACGTCGACACATACAAAGGTCAGGGGGATGACTCACTGATCTTTATGTGAGAATGGACTCCTGCAGCTCTCTTTGGCTTTTGCTTAACACAAAATGCAGGGGGAAAAAAGCTTCTCGGGGAGATAGTTTGGGTCAGTCCATGGTGACATTTCCGACAGAATGTAGGAACAAGGCAACGAGGAAAGAGCAGCGGCATGCATAATGAGAGGACGAGCAGGGGGTCTGTGCTGTGGGTTGCCAGATATGACACATGGGAGTAAAGCCAGAGTGAAACTATGCAGAAGAAGACAGCACTAACGTCATATTGTAGACTGAGATTAAAATATTCTCACAGCAAAGTCATGTAAAAGTGTCCTTTATGGGCTGGGTTTTAATGGTTAGAGGCAGACACCAGGGACATTTACATTTGTAATTCAGACATTTGCTGGGTTTATGACGGAGCCCAATGTGACACAAGGGAAAATGTTACCTTTGGGAGAGCATTGCAGTGCCATACATCATTAAACAGGAGAAAGAAGGGTGTTCAAAGACTAGTGGGGGAAACTTGTGTTATTTTAGGAGGTTTATTTGAGAGCTACTTCCCAATGCAAACACTCTTTTCATGTTAGTGAAATTTGTACTTTTCATACAGAATACATAAGAGTAAAGAACAGGACAATGCATGGTTTGATTGTAAATGGATGAAACTTTATACTCATGTATTTAACTGCTTGTTGACCAGCCCAGGGACTGCAGATGGAAACTCGCTTTAGCTAAATCTGGTGTAAAGCATCTCCTCTTTTATTAGATTAATGTAAACTGTGTGCATCATTATTAGGCAAGTTGTATTTATGAGGATTAATTTTTATAACTGAACAACTAGAGCCCTCTCGGGCAATCCAAAATGTTAATAAACCTCAAACCTGAATATTTAAGAAAGTAAAGGTGAAGTTTTGGCTTTGTGAGGAGAAAATCTATGTGTGCACAATTATTGGGCAACTATTAATGTGCATAATTATTACGCAACTAAATGAAAAATGAACATTTTCCATTCTTGTTTATGTTCATCTGTCAGAATAGCAAACAACTCAAAATTTACATTTTGACATTGCTAATATATGACTAATTTAGCCACCTTTCTTCTTAATAATGGTCATAAGCCTTCCATTCATGGAGTCTGTCAGTTTCTTGATGTATTGACGATGAACCTTTTTGTGCAGCAGCAACCACAGCCTCCCAGGCACTGTTCTGAGAGGTATACTGTTTTCTTTTACCATAAATCTCGATCTTAAGAAGGGCCCACAAGTTCTCAGTAGGGTTTAGGTCAGGTGAGAAAGAGGGCTATGTCATAATTTTTTCATCTTTAGGCCTTTACTGGCAAGCCACACAATAGAGTACTTCAGTGCATGCGATGGAGCATTGTCCTGCATAAAAATCATGGTCCTCTTGAAAGATGGAGATTTTTTACCGTACCATTGCTTGAAGAAAGTGTCTTCTAAAACTGGCAGTAGGTTTTGGTGTTCTTTTTAAGTCCATCTTCCACCTGAAAAGCTCATTGTTAATAATACCAGTCCATACCATTACCTCACCTCCACCTTGCTGGAGTCGAAGTGGAGCTCTGTTCCCATTACTGATCTACCCACAGGCTCATCCATCTGGTCTGTCAAGAGTCACTCTCATCTCATCAGTCCATAAAACCTTTGTAAAATCTGTCTTCAGATATTTCTTGTCCCAGCCTAGTTTCTTGTGTGCTGGTGGGTTTCAGCCTTCCTCACCTTGGTCATGTCTTTAAGTGCTGAACAACTTGTACTTCTGAGCACTCCAAGTAGGTTGCAGTTCTGGAAAATGATAGCGCTGGAGGGTAATGGGTTCCTGGTAGCTTCATGTTTGATTCTTCTCAAATCTCTTGCAGTTAATTTGCGTCTTTTTTTCTCAACACATTTCTTGTGACACTATTGACTATTTGTAACAAAAGCATGATGGTTTTGTGATCACACCTCAATATCTTTACTATTTCAAGAGTGCTGCATCACTCTGAAAGACTTATTTTACAATTTTGGACTTTTCAGAGTCAGTAAAATCTTTTTTGGCCCATTTTGCCTGAGGAAAAGAAGCTCCCTCCCTCTTTAGACAAATACACCTCATGGGATATGCTTAAATCCAATAAGAATTAAAGTGGGAGAATATGGATAAAAATCATAATATGGTCAAAATACTTTACCTTACTTATATTAATAACAGTGCAAGAGAAAATGGAAAATTTTCATTTTTCATTTAGTTTAGTTAGTAATAATTCTGCACATTAATAGTTGCCCAATAATTGTGCACACATAGATTTTGTCCTCAGAAACCAAATCTTCACTTTTATTTTCTTAAATATTCAGGTTTGAGGTTTATTAACATTTTGGTTTGACCGAGAGGACTGTAGTTGTTCAATTATAAAATGAATCCTCATAAATACAACTTGCCTAATATTTATGCACACAGTGTATTGACACATGGGCCCTTAAAATAGAATAAACAATAAACTAAACTAAACTAAGCTAATAAAATGTATTACTGTGTTTATCAAATAATGTTATAAGCATGTAATAATGTTTAAGCACACTAATGTAATAGGTAATTCTGCTTTTATTTATATATGATTTTATTTTTCCATACATTTTGTAGTACATATGATCACCAAATCACCAAAAATCTGCTCTACAACTTTTGATGGAGGTACTACGTTTTCTTCCCCCCAATATTAACTTAATATAATTTCTGTCAGGTCTGTCGACAGAAATTTGGGGGCCTGGGGCAAGAAGCCTCACATGGGAACCCCTATTCTTTGCCTCTAAAACCTGGGACAACAGACCCCTTTTTCTCCCCCTGTCTACTACCCTGATTCCTGTCAAAAATACATTTACTCTAAGATTTCTCAGACTGTTGTATTTATTGGCCCTGGTGGCACATGTAATTCTTTAGGAGATATTCTGGGCTACAGTTAAAATTATTAGAAAATGTTTATATTTGTCTTTGTCTAGCCTTGTCTGATTTATTCTTTCCCTAGCCTTAGTGACACATTACCGAAACATGATGATGATGATGGTTCTTTAGCCTATTATATGTGCATAATGTACCCGTTTGCTGTAGCCCTGTCGTTTCTGCCGTGATCCAGCAGAGTAAAGTGCAGGTATGAGATCCACAGGGCAGTCGGCAAAGTACTCGCAGCACGTCACAGGAGACTCGTGGATGGTCAGGGGGTAGGGGTTTTCAAATATGGGGTAACTGGAACATACGAAGCAAAAAACACCATGAATTAATGCAGTCTTTAAAGGTCCTATATAACACAAAATTGACTCTTGTGAGCTTTAGACCATGTTACAATGTTGTTAGAATGTTTGAGTAATCCATTGTTATTTAGTTATTGTTATTTCCATCACAGTACATTCACATTTTGTATGATACTTGAACCTCAACCAAGACATTGTTACATGCCCAATTTAGCACTTTGACAGATTAGAAAAATATCACCATATTTTAAAGAAAAAGAGATAACTATTTGAAAATATGGCCCACAGCAGTCACAGCTATAGATTAAAATGCCCAATTCAAGGACAACACAACAGCCATGAGCACAAATGATATGATAAAATATTAAATGAGGGGTCACACTCACCCGTTTTGTGCAAGGTCGATCACCACTAAATCCTTTTCTAAGAGGACCACCACCGCATAAGGTTCCTGAAAATCTGAGGAGAAAAAACGCAAGGCACAGCAAGTCATTCATCACAGCACACTCTCACTACACAACATGGTAATTACTTAGGAGACAAATCTTTGGAAATCTACAATCCACAGGGGAAGTATTGCACATGTTTTCTATGGGAAATGCTATTATCATATCTGTGCCCTCAAGAATAAGGGCGAGGGGGGCTAATGCTTTCATTTATCCGTCCTATGATTTATAACTGCAGGGTACAGCTTTGATTAAATATTTGGAGAAATCAGATTCACTCCAAGAACAGTTCCAGCACTGATAGATTCTACCACTAATAGATTCTGGACTATATTTGATAAAAACTTTCACATTTTCCAAGAAAAGAGTTTGTAAACAAAATTGGTTCAGAGAATTAAGCTAGCTAGAAGATATACTGCATAAATATTAAAGTTTTAATTTATAAATTTCCATAACGGTTTGTAAATAATTTGACAAAGTTAGAGGCAGATTTAAACATGAGCCCTTAAACATGTTATTTTCAGAGTAGTTTCATTGTAGTTAGCTCCTTCCTTCAGGCAGGTACAAGGAAGTATCCATCAGCATTTTAATCAGAATTGAAAAGCAGCTTTGGATGATCTGTAAAACGTATTTGGCCAAATAAACTTTTGTCCAGTTGACAAAATGAATTTCTCCTTTTACCATAAGCATGAGCAAGTATATCAAAGTTAATAATATTATACAAAGTTGAATATAATATTGGCTTTTACTAGCTGATGGTCCCAGGAGAAATTAACAGAACATTATGTAGTACGCCCTCTTACTGTTTAAAAAACATACATCAAGAACACGTCAAAGTTTTTCTCATTCTCAGTCCATGGGCAGCATGCCTCATGTAAAAGCTCAAAACCTCCTAAATTCACTCCGTCACGTCATGATTAACTGTGGTGGTGGTGCTGCAGTTTAGGTAGAAACCACTCAGATTAAAGAGAAACATTTAAACTTTAAACCAGAAGTTTCCAAACGTTTTCACCCAAGGTCACATATTAAACCGTATATGGTAAATGGTAAATGGTAATTGGTCACATTTTTCTATAGCGCTTTTCCACCTTCAAGGCACTCAAAGCGCTTTAAAACAAGGAACCACTCACCCATTCACACACACATTCACACACACATTCACACACAGTGGGCAAGGTGGGTTAAGTGTCTTGCCCAAGGACACAATGGTGGGAGCTGGAATCACACCAGCCAACCTGTGGGTCAATGGTTCTGACCGCTCAACCTGTGATGTTTATGTCGAGAACTGGAATCGAACCGCCAACCTTCAGATTAGTGGGCGAATGCCCTGCCAACTGAGCTACTGCCACCCTACAGAGTGAAGGGTCTGACTACAGGACAATATGATGTAGGTTTGACTGAACAAACACAGGTTTAAAAAGGCGAGGAACAATTACTTTAAGTCTGTATCACATCCAAATGTTTGTTACTTAAGTTATAATAAAAGACATTTTCTACATTAGTTGAACTACTACTACTTTTGGTAATTTTGTCTGAACCACAGTTTGGACACGTCCGGTCTCAAGCACCTAAAATCATGTGTAATCTTTTTGTAACTAAATATAAATCAGAAGTACAAGCAAGAGCGACATTTGATTTGACCGTGTCTATCTCATATCCGGGAACAAAAATAGGTCACATTAATGGAGTTCAGTTAAACACCAGAATTTGTTTTCACCTGATGAGTTGAGTGACAAGGTCTGCTTTTTAAACTATATGGTGCGCTGTCACTCACTGCCCACGGGCTCCTCCTGCACAGCCTCACCACAGAGCACTTGTGTGTGCAATGCATCTTGGGTAATGTAGTGTGACGTAGGGATGGGCATTATTAGTAGTTGACTAATCGATTGTGAACAATTTCGTCGATCACGTTTATTTTCAGTCGACAAACCGAATGTAGGTTGCTGTGCGTAGCGTAGCTTAAGGAGACGAGGCTGCGTCTGACAGCGCAAACACTGGAGTTGTGGCCTCATGATCAGTGTCCCGGGTATGGTCAGGTTTTTTGAGTATCCCAGTTTCATCATGGTGCATGTATACACAGTATCCCAGTTACTGCAACTTAAAGTTGCATAAAAACACTTTTCAGTCTTTTTGTCACAACAGTAGTAAAAAATAAATAAAATTACCAACATAAATAAAGTGAGTGAAATGACTGAAATAAAGAGCTGTGCTAAACCTGCACACGTATGATCTCTGAAAACATGAACCATCTCCAATGTGATATACGAACAGTTTAGTCAGAAGTCATTTTGAAAAATAAGTTCAGCCTTTCATATACATATCTCACCTAAAAACAAAATGAACCGAACTTTAAACTAGTTAAAAATTAAGATAGTGAACTATGAACGTGAACAGTTCACTTTGAAAATGTGTGAACTGAACTTTGAACTAGTTCATAAAAAATGTGAACTTGCACAACACTGATTAGTATTCACTCAATATAAATTATAAAATGTTATTTAATTGTTCTTTCATAAATGGTATAAATCTACATGACATTTTTTTTTAACATGACCATTGTCCTGCCCACAGAAGTAGCCGCATGTGGTTGATGCGTGTCCAGTTTCCCATAACAGAGCTCATGTAAGAGTCCAGTGAAGCAGTAGGACATAGTCACAGCTCCACAGTGCTGAGGAGACAGCTGTGTCACCAAACATCTGACCGGCCCACTCCTGTTAGCTCCCCAGCGCTAGCTCCATGTGACTCAGATTGTGTTGGACTGTTGCACAACTCGGCCTCACTGTGCCCACTCTGACAGCTCCACCATCATTCATTAGGAAAAGTATTAAAAAATATATCAAAAGTATTATCAGCTATTCTATTTATGCTAATAAAAGTGAATTATGAAAGATTCGACAAAAATACAAATCCTTACAAAATGTAGATGCTATTATCAGATATTAAACTGAATATAGTTTCAGATTCACTCACCATATTTTGTAATAAATCTATTTTTGAGCAGTGCATATGGTGTTTTAATAGCATTATCTACCGTTCCAATGATTTTGCTATTTTGGTGCAGCTTAGTGCTTAAAATCGCATAAGACTGAGCTGTCAGCATATGAGCCCAATATGATTGTCACAGTAAATATAAACCAGTCTTTACTCTTTTCTTTAGTTATCCTTGTATTGTCCAGTTTAATAGTTTTAGCAAATGGGTATATACTTTTTCAAGAATGTACAGGAAACTATTTTGAGAGATGTATACAGATGCAAAAAGTGCACAATTTACAATGCAAGTAGCTCCCACTGCTGAATACATACAGGCTCATTTGTAGTTTAGTAGCCACCTTCATACCAACGTGAAATCAAGGCACTTCTTTTCTCCACATCCCTATAAACAGTGATGTAGTGGGGATTTTTCTAAGTGGGGGCATGTGATTCGTGATGTTATTGTTATTAACCTTAACGCCATTCATAATCACCGACAGAACATAAATCATAGGCTGTGATGTGGCCCAGGACTGAACCAGAACTGAATCAGGACTGAACAAGGACTAAACTAGGACTAAACCAGGTCTAAACCAGGACTACAACAGGACTGAACCAGGACTAAAACAGGACTAGACCAGTACTAAACCAGGACTAGACCAGGAGTAAACCAGGACTAAACCAGAACTAAACCAGGACTGAACGAGGTCTAAATGAGGACTAAAGCAGAACTGAAACAGGACTGGACCAGGAATAAAACAGATCTAAACCAGGTCTAAACCAGGACTAAACCTGGACTAAACCTGGACTACACCAGGACTAAACCAGGACTGAACCAGGACTAAGCCAGGTCTAAATCAGGTCTAAACTAGGACTACATCAGGACTACACCAGGTCTAAATAAGGTCTAAACCAGGACTGAACCAGGACTAAACCAGGACTAAACCAGGACTAAACCAGGTCTAAACCAGTGGCATGGAGCTCTGCAACTGTCCTTTCTCCTGTGGTCACCTGACAGTCTGCATGGGCGCACCTCTGGGCCCGTACCGACACTCAAACCTGGTTCAGTTCTGATTTAGACCTGATTTAGTCCTGGTTTAATCCTGGTTCAGTCCTGGTTTAGACCTCCTGGTTTAGCCCCGGTCCTGGGTTCAGTCCTGGTCCCTCATGTCGCAGGTCACTATAGGACAGTACTGCACATATCATGAGCCTATGCAGATTGTTTTCACCGTTGCCAATAGCTCCAATTTGACATTTAAATTGTAGATTTTATATTTGATATTTTTTTATATCTCACATCGGGAAAAGTGGGTGGGAGGTGTACCCCTGTGTACCACGCCTACTACACCCCTGCCTATACACACACAACTACTGACTGTTAGAAAACATTCTCTCATTTGCAGTATATTCATGGGCACTAAATAACAGCTCATTTAACTTCATCCATCAATGCCCGTGTGAAAGCACACAAGCAGACAATCCCAGCTTCTTTTAGCCAGACGTCCATTATGTAAATCCAGGGCACGGTTTGTCCATGATCAGATGAAATCGGTGGTGATGACATCAGGTTGGCAGTGACATAATGAAGTCATCACTGTTGCATAACTCCCTAATCCCGGTTGAAGCTGAGATAACACAGCTCTACATCTGACACACTGGATTACACGCACACCACAATCTATGCCATAATTTACCATACAATCCAGGTCTATTCTCCTGTTGTGACTGTTTACTCAGCCATGCACAAATAAGATCCTCATTTCAATTTGGAGGAAACCCATTGTTGTGTATAAAGGTTTGAAAATGTAATATTCAGTGTTTTGAATAATAAAACGGCAATACAATCCACCCCCCTTGGGAAATTTCGTATTTATAAAAGAATCACACGGCAGCCAAGCAATGCCGCGTAATTAAAATCAGAAAAGGTTTGGGCGTGAGATTATAATGTTTGCAAACACAAAGAAACTCAGTTTGGGTTTAAACGAGGTACAGGCACGCAAAATGTGGTTAAACTGTTTAAAATTAAAAAGAAACTAAATGTGATAGTTCAGAAAGCTATCAGAAGCATACTGAAGAATCATACGGAAAACAGTAGAAATTAAACCATACGGCTTGTTATCATTAGTTGTAATATTATGTTATGCACAAAAATCTGACATAAGTAAGACCATCACTTACTTGTATCTGTGAAGATGTTATTGCATTCCCTGGAATGTTCCATGATATGATATTAAACATACACATCTAGCATTTATTCATTGCTACATTTCTATAGCTCAAAAATACAGACCAGGACTAAACAAGGACTAAACCAGGACTAAAACAGGACTAAACCAGACGTGAACCAGGACTGCACCAGGTCTAAACCAGGTCTTAACCAGGACTAATTTTGGACTTGAGAGCAAGAGAGAAAGAACCCTGAGGCTGTCGAGCAGGGTGTCCAGAAAATGCGATCAGGGTTGTTTGCGCTTAGCCATTTCTGTAGCTCCAAAAAACAGTAATTCCATGGAGACAAGCAGGTGGTTATATTGTGCACCTTTAACAGGACAAACAAAAGGCCAAATTATGTTTTTTAATAATATTTCCATAACTTTTACATATTTGTATTATACCGGTCTTGTTGTTTTGAGATGTGTTGCTCCAACCATTTGACATCACTTTTTTGTGATAACAAAATGCATTTAATGTGAAAGTAATGCATTTTTTTTCTCATTTGCCTTTTATATCTAGCACCCACCCACCACACTGTCATATTAGCATTCATCACTGACACTGCAGACACACACAGAATACATATCCATAATACATACCATTGGGGTATGGGGTCTCACACAGAGTGAGGAAGTCGACTATAGGGTAGTCCATCTCTAACACAGCAGTGCTCTTCCCGTGCATCACAGTCAAACAGGGCAGACGGCCCACTGTGTCGAAGGACAGGCCTCCAGACAGGATTATAAAGGGCTCCCTGGGAACACACAAACACAATACAGCTATACAATTAGCCAGAAGTCACACAGAACTGCTTAAATTAGAATATAAATAGTTAACAGCCCAGAGCCAGTAATGTTTGATTTGAAAATATCTGTGGTACATTTTAAAATGTATTTTGCCAAAAGTAGCCAAAGTAAAACCTTCTTGCAACAGTAAAATTAAAAACCACTACTAAGGCACCAAGATTAATCACAATCGAATCAAGTTTCAGTTTCAATGGGCACAATTAGCAAATCGCAAAGGCTGCAAATTTAAGTACGCTTCTGTTTTCTCCCCACAAACAACAAAATATTCTGTTAACACTGTACTTTAGATATGTACAGACAAGTTCTGAAATGTGTTTCTCGTCAGTTCACATTTCAGTTTTTTTCTTCTGGACATGTGAACTTGCAAATTCCTATAATTAAAACTGAAATCTAGCAATCAAGCAATTACAACGCAAAGTTCTTTTATTAAAAGACAGTAACAATTTTCACCGCTCATGCAAGCAAATATTACCATTACTAGACACATTCAGATGTGTATTCTTTACATAATAAAGATGGCGTTATGACTGGACACATACCCATTCCTGGTGGTTTTGTACTCCACTTTGAGAATGGGTTTACAAGGCTCTGGCTTCTTCCCGTCCTTGGGCTGTTTTCCTGAAATACACCAAAACACAGTCCCATTAGTTTGTCTCTTCACCTCATTGTTCTTTGTCACCACTTCTCTCTATCTTTTACCCCAGCACTCCTTTCATCACCCCATCCCTCTCTCAGTACTGGTACTACTGTATAAGAAGCAGCATTGAGCAGTAATAATAGCAGTGGGCTATTTATCACGAGGAGAGTGATGTGGGACAGGGCCATGCAAAAGAGGTGAGAGGATCAAGGATGATTTAGTGGAGCCATCCATCCAGGTCGCATCAGGGAGGGCCGTGTCAATGAAATCTGCACATCGCCTGTAAATGTACCTGTGCATTTAGAACTACAGTATGTTACTGCTCTGCCCGGAATGTTCCACAGTATGACATTACACAGCTAGAAATCCATTTATTAAAGTACAGGAGGCTTTAGAGCTCAAAAACACCTAGAAAAACAGGCATTCTGTCAGATCTGACCTGTAGCTTGGCCTTGTTTGGTCTCCTTGAAGATAAAAAGGTTTGTGAGCTACTATGTCCAAGTAATTTCCCTTGTGGATCAATAAAGTCTGCCTAAGTGTAAGTCTAATGTCATACTGTGAACATTCCAGATAAAGAAAGAACATCCTTTATCTCACTGTATTTCCAAACTTTTTTTTACCATTACACTTCTACCTTTGCGGCACATTCACATAAATGCTCTCTCTCTCCTCTCAATCAGTCAGAATGTCTGTATTTCTAGGTATTTTTAAGATATAAAACAAGCAGTAATTTAAAAAATGTAAGATAGAGCTGTTCAGTGTCATACTGTGGAACATTCTAGGCAGAAACAAGCGGGTGACGGACCCCCAACCCTAACCAAAAAGTTACTTAGTGCATCATTAAACTATTATTTCTAATAAAATGGCATATTTTATATAAACAAACAGATAAGCAACATCTCATTGATGTTGACGAACTGCGTCAGTCATTAGCTCTCTGCAGGGCAAGTAAACACATTAAAACTAAGATAGATTTTACTTTCACTTACAATGTGATGAACAAAAGAAACAACGTAAGCTTGTCTGAGGTGGAGGAATCATGTGTGACGCTAACTGGAGACTCTGCTCTATGTTATTAGGTTCTTTTTTCAGACCAAGAGTTTGTTTTTCATACCTGACAGTTTTGACTGCACTAGCAGTCTTCCTCAAAGTGGTCACATGATGTTGCTGTGACGTGTCCGGTCAGCTGATTTAAACAGGTTTGCAATGCTGTCGTCCTGCCTCCACCGTTAGGAAGACAGCGCCATCTGCAGTCCGACTTCCTCAGGACAGTTTCCCAGATGTGTGAGAGTACAAACCCCCCTCATCCCGGTTTATAGTCCTATGGGCACGTTTCTGTATTTCGATTGCCTCTTTAATCCAGTGACGATGTTTGTTTTCCTCTGTCCGAATGATATTTGCTCCGTCCCAGTCCATAATGTGTTTGTCTCTTTTAGAGTGATTCGATGTTTCCTTCTCGCATTCTGTTCTATGTTCCTTTTTTCATGTACTGAACTCCCTCCCTGTTTCTCTGATGTATGTTTTATTGCAGGACATGCAGGGGATTTCATACATGACATTACATTTATGTTCCAGTTCTATTTTGTCTTTTGTGTGGACAAGTGTTTGACTTGAGTTTTCTGTATGGTTTCACTGGTGTGTTGATATTGTGTTTTCTCATTGCCCTCTGCACTTTTTCTGTTATGCCCCTCATGTACAGTAATGTTACCATGCCTGTGCTCTTGTATATTTTCCTGTGTTCTGTATAAATCAGCTGACCGAACACATCACAACAACATCACGTGACCACTCTGAGGAAGACCGCTAGTGAGCAACCGAAATTGTCAGGTATGAAAAATTAACTCTTGGTCATAACCTAATAACATAAAATATCGGAAAACCACATGAACCTTGTTGGAAACTCTGCTCTGTCGAAAGCTTTGTTACTCAAGTTAGACTTTAATCTGAATCTGATCCATTTCATATTTTTTCTTGATTTTCAGGCAATCTTAAAAAAAAATTTGGCCGTGTTTGCTTATGTGTGCATTCTGTAAGCATGGTAGTTGAAGAACAATCCACTATATAAAAATAATAATTAATTGCAAAGTATCTTTTAAGAAACTGTGCACAAAAGAGTCCCAAGAGCTATACTGTTTATCTTCAAAAAACAGTGTCCACTTTCTCCCACTTTAAATTTATATTAATAATAAAAGGCCTCTGTGTTAATAATTACATCTCAAAGACAAATATCAAAAAAGGCAATTAAAACGAGTCATAAAGCTTAACTTAAACCTGTTGAAAGAATTTACATAATTGTTCATTAAACACAATCTAATTATACACGTAGTGGGGGAAACAACTCATTAAACAGCCCAGTGTGGTGAACTCCTCTATTCAAACCTTAAACAAGAAGCAGTTATATTACAAAGCTTCATTTATTATGTTTTCCTGTTCTTGCTGGTCATTGGGCAGTTATTCCTTGCCTTTTCATCCAAATGGACAGTCAAAGTGGCGCGTGGGTGAGTAGGTATGCGCTGGGGAGGTAAGATTGTTTAAAAAAAAAAGAAAAACATCTTCAAAAAGAACAGACTCTGGCCAGTGAATTAAGTAAATAGAGTGGCTAATGCTAATGTATGCGACGCAGAGGAGGGCAAACACGCACACATAATTGAGTTGACAATAATCCGACGATTGAAATGAGGGAACGGCGAGGGGGGAGGAGGGGGGGCCACAGTGAGTCCAAGGTCACATGACACAAAAGGCTCTGCAGGAGTTATTTATGGGAAAGACAATAGGTAGGTTATATACTGGAGAGGAAGAAATGACACTTTATTACCCATAATGCCTTCATTTATAAACACATTTTAAAAACTGTATTAAATTGGTTTCTCAACTTTCCCACTGCAATGTGTTTTATTTTCTGTAGTCAGCCATTCCCAGAGTGTGTGGCTGACTACAGATCCAACTCTAACAGAAGATGAAAAGTTAATTTGCTCAGATATTGAAGTGAAAATAATAATGACTCTATGTGTAATAATAAAGAAGAACATTTACAACTAACTGATATTATGTAAAGTTAATTGGTTTCTCTGTTATGTACTTGTTTTGAAACCAAGTGCAAATCTGTGAAGGAAATAATTGTACTGATGGAATAATTGTACCTCAAAGTACATAGACAAACTATTGTGGTGTGCCTTCTTTCTGAAGTTGTCCCATTACAAAATTCCGAAAGTAATTTTCCAGTTTTGTCTAACTGGACTTGGACATTACATATTCTGTGGGTGCATTCACACTTGCCTTGGTTTGGCCCTGGTTTAGGACCAGTTGAGTTCTAGTACAGATTAGGTTTGGTCCAGTTCTAGTCCTAGTTTAGTCCTGGTCAAGTCCAGGTTTAGTTAAAAGTTTAGCCCCACTTTAGTCCCCATTTTGATGTGGTGATTCCAAGTGTGAACGCACCCTGGATTTCTTATTCATCATCTGGAATCTTGGAAAATATGTTAGGAAATGTAGATTTTTCACTATAAAGACGCACACAATATTCACAAAACCTTTTACTATTATACTACTATTATTTATTTATTTATGTATTTATTTATTTATTATCCTACTATTATATATTTATTTACTTTTGGGACCTTATTTCAGCATAGTCCTGTTTAGAAGCATGTCTCCTTACCGTGCGGCGTGATTGTCTGGATGGGCTTGCCCTGGCCCCTCACGTTCCATATGGTCAGGGTCCCGTCTGAGTGACTGCAGATGAACTGTTTGCCCTCGTGGTGCCAGGCGACAGAGTGGATCGCCTAGGAAATCACACACACAAACACAGGTCGGCGTCAGCAGCGCACACGCCATCATGTGCCGCCGTCTCCTGCTCTGGAGAGTTCCACTTGAACAGCTTCACGTCAGCGGTTCGTATGTGGGTTAAAGCGCCGTGACAGCAGTGAGCAGATGGCCCACGTGTGATAACAAAGTCTGGCCTTTGACTGGAGAATACCCCCCGGCACAAGTGAGGCTGATACTGAGCGTGAACAGGTGGAGCACTTAGGAAGGTTTACGGGTACTTTCTAGAAACTTTGATGTCTTTTTAATTTATTTATCTACATATTTATTTATTAAAGGGTCCATATTACACTATTTTCTGATCATTACTAATGGAAAACACTCCACTCCATCTTGTAATGTCATGTGATGATACAGAAAGTGTTCTTCTGTGTTTTTAAACTACATACACCTAGAATCAGTCGGTTGATTTCAGATCTGAAATTTTTGACAAAAGGATTACTCAAACATACATGAAAGAAGCAAAAAACAACTTTGGATATGTTTTTAATGAGGCAACATTATAATTTGGCACAAACCTCACAAGAGTGGAATATAGGACTGTTAATGTCACAAGACAGAGTAAATTCATACATATTTTATTTCTGAATTCATTAGTATTAGGGTTAGCCTGATTCATCAGCCGGTTTCACTTTGTGGAAACCATCTGACCTCGCAGCATTAGGATTTGTTTGCTCGATAGTAGGCAGGTACTTTATTTATTTAACCAATCGCTGCTATTTGGTCATGATGTATGTAATGCACCACTAACAGGGCTAACTGGTATATTAAGCTTTACCTAAATCTCGTAGGAAGAGGGGCAATAATGTCTTGCCCCTTGATAAAATTCACCAAACATTCTCTTTGTTCCGGCTTTAAACCCTCAATCTCAGGAATTGTTGCCAACACAGAATGTATGTCTTCGTCTACATCTATCTTGACCACTTTGTTTACTGTTGTGCTGTACTACAAAAGAGACCCAGACAGGTGCTTGAGTTTGATGTCATGGATTCACAGCTCTTCGGTGATTGGCCGGTGTGTGGTCTACGACTTCCGGGGTTCTTGCAAACCATCTAGTTTATTCCAGTTGACCTAGTCGCTGGAGAGAAATGGAATTGAGCGGAGGCACTAGGTGACGTGAGCCTGGGTACATTAGTAGTAGTAGTAATCATTTCATGTTTTGTCAAGTTTGTTTTGTCTTATATTAATACGCATTGTATTATAAATAATTTCAGATTTAAATTAAACTTTGAGATTCCTCTTTTCTCATTATTCAAAGACTTGGCCTGGTAAAACAGTTGAACAACAGCTTACACTTTGGGAATAAGAATCAAAGTGCTGTTTTATGACGAAAAATCCAGTAAGATTTAATAGCAATGCAGTACATAATCAGTAAAAAACTGAATGGTTTGAAAGTCAATTGGTTTTGCCAGCTCACACCACACAGGGCAGTCAGAGCAGATTACTCATGGATATATGGGGGCAGTTGGCGCCATATTGGTTCTATCAAACTGTTTTTATATGGCTTTTCAGGGACTTTAACAGGAAGACAGGGTTATCAATCTAACACTGGAAAGATTAAAGTTTAATACTGATCTTTGGGCAGTTTCCTTTGGAGTTTACGTTTGTATTAGCAACTAGAATCAAAATGGTGACAAAAAAAAAAAAAAAAAGATTCTGCTATTAAATTGTGCCATTAATATGTTGCAACAAAATCATAGCAGCTTTATTGTTTTGCTCTGAAATAAATTGAGAAAAATTAAACATGCACCAGGGCTGTCAGTTGAGTTTTTCATAACCAAAATTATACAACAAAATAAGACCAAATACTTTTGAGTTAACTTTTCCTGACCCCTTCAGTTTACTCATATAAATAAGTACATTGGAGCTGGGAGACCACAGTGAGTAGTTAGCACCAACATGTCTATCACATGTTACATCAGCTCAGTGTATTCCTCTCATTCATGCAGTTCTGTGCAGCCGCTCTGCTTGGTCTCGGTGATTTATCAACTGACAAGCAATCATTGAAAACACAAACACATAATGACCCAAGAATGCCAGGAAAAGGGCAACCTTGCTTATTGCTGCCCTTTTCAAAGTCGGTAATTAAAGCCAACGGATGGTTCTGACATTAAGTAAATATGATGACAGTCTCTGCAGCTCACAGCAGCTACTAAACGTATCTCACACATGTTGCATCTGACACTTGCACTTTGGGCCAGTTATAGATTTATAGCAACAGTCCTGGACAGAATAAGCACATTACATTGAATTATTAGATCAATTTCACTAGACTAGAATCTGTTTAGTTTCTTTGACCTTTTAACCTTTGTATTTTATACTGTTCTTTTCTAGGTGAAAAGTTGGGAAGTTTACTTTGTATTAACAATAAAACCAGAAGAGACAGTAGGTTAATTAAGGCTAGATATATCTTAATAATAATGTATAAATAATGCATTGGGTTTACATCTGCACCTTTCAAGACTGACAGAAGTGAGAACTGATTACAGAAGGATGGAATTTAGTGTGAAAAACCTCTGTCCAAGACGGCCCAACCACAGATGGTAATTTGTAGCACGTGTCTCTTAAATGTAGAAGACATCTCCTCTTGAAAATTCTCATATAATTCAGAAACGTTTTTAGTTGTCCTATTTTCCCCAAAATAAATAACAGATAGTTTCCCAATTTTTCTAGTTTTGAGATTAAAAAATGGTTTCCTGTTTTTTGATTTTCGATTTCCCATTCCAAACCACAACTTACATCTCAACTGTGTCTGTTTCTGAACCGCCTGCTTTGCTGCTGCTGCAGAAACTTTAATTGTTTTATCTCATTGTAATCCCTCTTTCTCGGGTGCCTTCTGTACACCTGGCAAAAAACTGCAGATGTAAACTCTGGTATATTATGCAGCTGTACTGTTGGTTCATATGCAGTTGTTATAAATAAATAAATGACCTTAACATAATTACACTGACATGAGAAAAGCGTCCATAACAGTTCCTTTCTACCCCCTGTATGTCCACTGATGTCCCCCACGTGGTTGTATTCTCCTCATCATTAATCACATGCTCCACACCTACCATGGATCTCCATTCTAAAGAGCTGACTGCACTCAGGCTTTAATAAGGTGAGCACACAGCCACACACAGCATGAATACATCATCGTATTTGTTTTAAGGGTCAGTGAGAGCCGCTGTCAGCATCTCGTGCTGTGCTATTCTTCAACAGTAAGCAGACATAATGAAGTTACTTTTAAACAGTGCTCCAATGGGACATTTAGAGGGCACAGACATGGTGCTATACACACCATCACTGATTCATATCATACACATACAGACTGATCAAACTATATTTTAGGGCTGTAGTTGACTAAAGAAGTCCTTGGTCAACTGACTGTATCCTGTCTCCCTCATTTCAGAAGCTGTGATTGACAGCTGGATTAACCAATCATAGAGACGCACCAATTACTTTTCTCAGATAAAAGGTTATATATTTTGTTCTAAATGTTAAGAGAATTTTAAAGAGGAGATGTCTTTCGCATTTGAGGGACAAGTGCTACAAATTAGCGGCTGTGGTTGAATCACCTCAAGTTCTAGGGGTAAGATTCCAGACCCTTCTGGATTTTAATAGAATGTAGAAGGGATTGGCAGTTCAGGCAAAAGAAATGTCCTACCAATTCAGTATTCGACTAAAAAGTCTGCGTGGCAAAAGCCCACAAACTATTATGTATCTCAATGCATCTGATCCAAACTGCACTAACAAGACTTTTTCATTCAAAAACATCTACTTATATACTAGTATTAAGAAAAAAAATATTTATATAAAGACAGGTTAAATTTTTAATCATGACCTTAATCTGCCTTTTTATAAATAAAATACCAAAAAATACATCTTCAGCGAACTCACTCACTCCTCCTTTCTACTGCTGTGGTCCACTGAAATTCTTATGATCTAAATAAAATAATTAGATGCTGAATACAAATTCTGATTGGCCATTTACTGTTATATTAAATTACTGATTAATGAAAAAAAATACTATGTTATTATGTTGTTTCCTCATCAAAACATCTAGGGTTGTGTTTTGTTTAAAACACAAAATCTACATATTTAGGCTGAGGTCTTCTCTCAAAGTGAAGATGCCCTGTTCCAGCTTGTGATGTGGTAATACAGGAAGTGCTCCACTGTGTTTTTAAATGCACCTTCACTAGAATCATAAGGATGATTTCAGCCCTGGAATTGCCAATCTCTACTGAACTAAAGGAAAAAGGTTTTGTCATGACTTCAGGTGAATCAGAGCATTTTGAGCTTTGGAGATGTAGACTAAAACCAGGATTACTCAAACATGTGTAAATATAACGGGACTTAAAGCTCACAAGGACCAATTTTTTGTTATAAAGGACCTTAAACTAAACTAACTAAAATGAACTACACGACTAAAGGCCTGATTATATTATTATTATTATTATTATTATGTAGCTGTGTAACATGTGGTGAAGAAACACAACTGTATGGTGATGTATTTGAGTAAAGAAAAATGTGCAGATGTTATGACAAAGACACAGATACGCACTGTTCTAAATGACAACCCCACTCGGGATAATGGTTTAATGATGCAGTCGCTCTAATTGGAAAATGAGAAATAATTGAACCACATGACGATCATTAGTTCACACAATAGCAATTAAACAGACTAATATGAAACATGAGGTCAGTGTTCACACATTGGACCATGGGGAATAGGTACACTGAGTCGAGCCTGGATTCAAATACACACAACTTATACGGGAATGAAAAATCCAACTATTACAAGTAAAATATTTATATTAAAAAATGTTGGTTCTAAAGCACATGTATGTAAGTATGTGGTATTGCTGTGTTTCAGATGACATCACCACATTCAATAGGTCAATAATAATTAATACAGATGGGGCAGCTGAAATAAATCAATTTTTGTTGCATTACAGTAAGTTCTTAGATCTATATT